GATGACATTCTAGCGCGAGAATACGCGCTCGCACTCCACCGTGCTGAGCGGCAACACTGCCACAGCCGCCCACAGCCGCACCAGGTTCGGATAGGTCCGCTGCCAGTCTGCAGTTGACAGGATCGCCCGTAACCCCGCATGGAAGGGTTGCTCCTCCTTTGGCGCCCCGGACAGCACAGACAAAAACGTGCGCATCTCCTTCCGCACTTCACGCTTGTTCACACCTGTATGATGGGATGATAAGGGAACATACAAGCGCAACATCAACAATCGCGCTTCTAAGGGGTACAAGATACACAGCGATGTTTGTGGGTGAACAAAACAGTTATCTCACCAGGCAGTTTATCATCTCTGACGCGAGCACATCACCGCCAGCTTCTCCATGTGTTCTTTGCACTCCGCGTCTCTCGCCTCTTTCCCACGCGGCCAGGTTCTTGGCATGAAGAGCTTTGCGGCGTTGAGATTTGTCAGGTCGCCAAGCCGAAAGTCGAGGTTGTAAAGCAGCTCAGTCGCAAACAAGCGACACGTTCGAATGCAGGACTGGATGTCACCAGCGCTCGCCAAGTACCCGGGAATCGACTCCTCGTGCAGGGTGAACTCATGCTCCCTTGCCTCCCCGTCGGCGTCCACTCCCTGCACAGTCACTTCCCTGCTGCATGGTGCACTGTGGCGAGCAAGGAACAGCGACAGTAGAGTGCTCGCCCCTGCACCGAACTGTTGCCCACAGTCGATGTAGCGCTCTCTGATGAAGAATTCTGTATGCCTCAGCTGGGAGTGGACCCCCGTCAAGTCAACCTGTGGTCGGGTTTTGGATCAGGGAGGGCACAGTAGTGAAACACATCCGTGAGCATCAAACACCTATCAAGTGGATAGTGCTACAAAGCAGACAACGGTACCTCGCGCCTCTGGAAGAGCAGGTTGAGCGAGTTCAGCTCTACGTGTACATCCGCCAGGAAGTACACAAAGAAGTGGAACTTCAGGCTGGTGACCATATGGTAACAGGTTGAGTCCAGCTGCTCCAGAAGGACAATCATTGCCGACAGCACCTTCACGAACCGGGCTATCGCGTCACCGCGGCTTAGCCACCGTACGGCGTGGATCCCTTGCATTTCCAGGTTCGTCCGGGTGAAGACGGCCTGGAGCTCCTTGAATGCAGCGTTCGAGGTGCTGCTGCGGCCGAGATGCTCCGCCAAAGCACGGATGAGAGTGTCAACCATGGCGAGCTCTGGGAGCGCTTCTGCAGAATCTTTCGCGGCAAGTGCCTCCCTGTAAAGAAAAAGCCACGGACACAGCGTCAGGCAGTCAGTTGGTAAAACAGCGGCAGATGTTGGATCTGGGATGCAGAGGCACCCACCTGTGGGCGATGCAGTGGCACGAGACCACATGAGGGATGCAGAGCCGAAGTCGCCCGGTCAGTTCGTTGGTTCCGCCGAGCATGACTGGAGCGCCATCGGTGCTAATCCCGACGATCTTAGCAAGGGGGAGGTTGATGCTGTCGAGGTAACCGACGAGCACTGCATACAGGGATCCTGCATCGCATTTGTCAACTGTCAATAGTGTGAGAAACTCAGTGGTAACCTCGTTTTCATGCAAAAAAATGATGAAGACGATCATATGCTTCCCCCGCACGCGGTCAGTACTCTCATCACAGCTCAAGCCAATGAATGGGCTCGAGTCTATGAACTCCCGCTGCTTCGCACGAAGATAGCTCGCTGTCGCGGACACTAGTTCTGCGAAACCATACCTGCGAACACACGGTTAGGGAACATAGTGTTAGTATATAGTAGATCATGTGTTACGTGAAAGATATGAACAGCATATTACTTACGTTGTGTAATACGCGCCGTAGCCATTCTTCGGGAAGCCCGGAGTCCCACGGGAAGCAAGGTGCCGGACGAGTTGCACCCACATCTCTATGGGTGCGTCGGTCTTGGTGATGAACAGCATGGTGTCCAGCAGCGACTCCACAACGTCGTGCTCCACGTCACGGGCTGTCGGGCAGTCTGGGATGCGATGCTGTCCGGCAGCTTTGGCCAAAGCCAGCTCCTGATTGCGGATGGCTTCTCTGTGCTTCGTGGTCCTTTGATGACGTTGCATGGCCTGAGTCTGCACATCCAGGGCCCCCTCGCCTTTCTCGAAGTTGGTTCCTGTTCCTCCATAATCCATACACACTGTACATTTCATGGAGGGGAAACCAAATTTAGTTTGACAAATAGTAAGCCAAGGGAAGTCCTCGTTCCACCGTCGTTTAAACATGAGCAAAGCTTCTTGATACTTCTCCTCGCCAACGTCGGGAATCTCGGTATCAGAAGAAGCAGTGGCGGCGGTTTCAACAAGAACAGTAGGTTCGGTGGTCGGTTCATGATGTTGCCTGGTGACGGAAATGACAGCGGTGGTGTCAGATGTACAGACAAACGAGAGCTTTGTCTGTTGATACCGTTGCGCGGAGAGTTTTTGGCTCGGTGGTCCTTTGCGGGTCGTCCCAACCGCCTTAGAGCACTCCCCTTGCGTGCGAATCGGCGGTGGCACGGGGACGTTGTCAACCACGACTGGTGCAGTTGTCACGGGAGAAGGCACGGGTGGCTGGGACGGCGACGGGAGGGGATCAACTGCGGCAGCGGCAGCGGAATCAGCTAGTGTTGGTTTCGGCGGTGGTGGAGGCTGAACAGGCCTACTACGCAATAAATCCAGGCCCGTCAACCCTACGGTCGGGCAGGGCGGCTAGGTATGGCGGGGGCTTCACCATCGCCCGCCGGCGATGGGTCAGCCATGGACGGTAATTTGCGGCAAAAATAACGAGACATACGGCGTCGAGCAGCTAGGCAAGTTACGGGGAAAAACAAAGATTGTTGGCGTTCTGGCTGGGGTTTAGTTGAGAGACGAGAACAGGCTGGAGGGGATGGAGGAAGAGACAGAACAAAACATCACAATCTTCCCAACCCCAGACACATGGCGCGTCGACCACAGGAGTCGCGGCCTATGCGCTGGCATAAGCATCTTGCAAAGTTGGATAAGGGACAAGTTTCATGGCTAGGTGGGAAGCACGTGCCACCAGCATCTTGCATTGTTGGCCGTGTTTTTCAAGCGTGTTAAGTCAGCGGCGCACTGTGATTGGAAGATGTTACAACATTACTGTGGTTCCAGGCTGGGCGCGGTGTGGTGTTGCGCCACCCAGGCAAAAATAAACAGTGCGACAGTCACGGAGCGTAATTTACGCTGTACCAGATCGGTGGTTGGGTACACTAGGCCCGGGGAAAATGCACTATTCGCGTCAAGACGAGTCTCGACACTATCCTGACTCATCAGGGCTGTACCTACAGCGCTATCCTGAGGGCCCAGTAGGAAAAATTACCATTATACTAATATCACAGGACAGACATTTGCATTAAACACCTATCCCGAATTCAGGAGAATCAGGATAAATTATCCTGATAACGTAGGCCCTGAATAAAAGGTTAGGGTCTTGGTGTGCAGTGCAGTGTGCGCAGTAAGAAAAATCACAATTATATAGGATGTGTGTGGTTCCAGCCAGTATTTCATATCCAGTAACAGGTCAGTGCATCTCATTCATCCATGTAGAAAATATTCATTTGCACTATTGAGTTGAATACGCACTACATGGTGGGGATAGAATGACTTGTTGAATGAGTTGAAATACGCACTACAAGGTGTGCAAGCAGGCTTATAAGACTATGAAGACGCTCAACTACATGGAAGTATAATGGCTGTGTGGTGAAGTCTATTCTCTAAGGACGCGTCCCCTCCAGCTCGATCGTGCAAAAACCGATCTTTGACCGCGTCAAAAACCCGCGTATTGCATTCAAAACTTCTAGACGTTTTTTGAACCACGTGAACAATCGATCCTACGTAGGATCGGTCGCAGGTTTGGCGTTCAGGTGACGCGTCCTAATTGCACTCGCTAACAGAGGGAAAGGAACCCTTGCAATTCCGGTTTGTTCGGCTACCTTTCCGGACTGTCACCCGCAGAGCAGTGCCCTGACACTGGGGTGTGCCTTCTCGCGCGTCCGAGTTTTTGTCTCACTTTCTCACATCAGTTGCTGTGGTCCGACCAGGGCTGGTCGGAGCAGAGAGCGAACAGAAAAGGGCCCTGGTCGGACCACAGCAACTGATGTGAGAAAGGGTCCGACCAGGGCCCTTTTCTGAGAAAAGAGACCTTTTCCTGCAGCATGCAGGCGTTGCGTCCAGGGTCTTGGCTACTTCGCTTCACCTGCCTGCTTCGCGTCGCAAGACCCTAGTTCCGTCCCCATCACTCTACCTAGCCATGCAGAGGCCAGGGATGCATGGCCCTACCGTCGCGTCAGTGCGCTTTGGGAGGCGACTCGGGAGCGGCTCGTATCGTGAATCTCAGAAGCTTGCACGGTTCTTACCTGGTACTACTAGTAGTAGTGACTGCCTTCGCATCACACAAAGGGGGCCTGTTTCTTAGCCAGGCTTCCACGTCTCGTTTTCCTTCTAATTCCGCTAGTAGTACGTGACACATCGTTCCTTGCGCTCACATATCTCGAGTCTAGCTAACCGATTTCCTGCTGGATCCCTCTCGGCTTTCGTCTCCGCTCCTCCGCCCGTCAACTTCCATGGCGGACGGGAGCAGCTCTGAGCTTCCATCGTCGTGTGGCTTCTTCGCTTGCATCCCGCAGTCGCAGGTTAGCTCCTGCTCGTTCACCCTCATTATAGCCTACCTCGTTATCGATGCACATTAGAAAAATACGGTATTAGCGACATATTATGTATATGTTTTCGTGTGTGCATGTTGCAGGTGGGAATATTCGAGAGATGGGGAAAATTCTCCCACGTCGCAGATCCCGGACTGCACTGTTTCAATCCTTTCCTTGGGACTTGGATGGCGGGAAAACTGTCGCTCCGCGTGCAACAGCTAGACGTGCGATGCGAAACCAAAACGAAGGTGAATTGTCTGTATTTCCCTCGTTGTCATGCTCTTCTCGCCGCCTCGTTCGTGACGTTGATATGTTCAGTCCCGAATGATGAAGGCGAATTTTAATTGCTGTTCTGTAAACGATTCTTTTACATCCTACTTCTTGCAGGACAATGTGTTTGTGACGGTGGTGTGTTCCGTCCAGTACCAGGTGATGAAGGACCATGCAGACGATGCGTTCTACGAGCTCCAGAATCCTCGCGAGCAGATTCAGTCCTACGTCTTTGATGGTATGCAGTGTAACAAGGGGATTACAAGGGGATTGTGTTGCTGGTCTTGATTTCAGTCTTTGATGTCTTGCACTCTGGGTTTCCATAGACGTTTCACAGTGGACGGTTGTGCAATAGCTGACCCTGTGTACGTGTCTTGGTGTGGGCATGTGCATGTGTATATGTGTGCGTGCCGCATGCATACGTGCTTGCGTGCGTGTGTGGTGGTGGGGGGGGTGGAGTGGGTGTGGGCATCCCACTACAGTGGTGCGAGCCAGTGTTCCCCGCATAGAGCTGGATGAAGTGTTTGAACAGAAGAACGAGACTGCCAAGAATGTGGAGGACGAGCTTTAAAAGGTAATATCAATGCATGAGGTTTCAAGGAGTGTAGATTGCTGGGTGGGGTTGGTTACCTCCTGCATGAAGCCTACTGTCCTACTGGCCAAGTGTCTTGTACCGTATCTTCTACTTGGTTACCTCCCGTTGTCACAAGCTGTGTTTTGAGTCGACTTAGAACACTCCTGTTTGAGTCGACGCAAAACAAGACTTGTACGGTATCTTCTACTTGGTTACCTCTGCTCTACTCGGTTACCTCTGCTTTGTCTCAAGCTCCTTTGTGTACAAGTTTGCGTGCGCGCTGACAATTCCCCTCGCTGACAAGTACCCTGTTCCTAAAATTATTTCTGCTGCTCTCTGCTTCTAAACTTTCCTATGCCTGTTGTTACAGGTGATGACAGCGTATGGCTACACCATTCAGCAAACCCTCATCGTGGACATTGAGCCTGATGCCACCGTGCGCAGAGCCATGAATGAAATCAATGCTGGTAAAGCCATAGCTCTCTGCTCACTGATCTGCTAAAGTTTGTTTCCTGTCATGTTAGGCTGGCTGCACCTTTGTTCTGACTTCCTTTTCACAACAATCTCAGCTTTTTTCGAGGTTGATTTCGTTCTCTCACCTTATTCTGTTTCCTTTCTGTGCTGCCCAAACGTGAGCAGCTCAGCGCATGCGCATGGCAGCACAGGAGAAGGCAGAGGCCGAGAAGATCCTTCAAGTGAAGCGTGCCGAAGCTGAAGCCGAGGCAAAGTACCTCTCGGGTGTTGGTGTGGCTCGGCAGAGGCAGGTGCGTCCTCAAAAGCCAACCTGCTGCGTACCTTTAAAAGCCAACCTTTTACATACTTTGCTATGCCAACCTGCTGTGCTCGTTTATGAGCCGACCCGCCACCTGCACTGCTCTTTTTGCTACTTGTCATTCTGGCATACTGAGCTACTTCTTGGTTCCGACAATTTGCAAATTAGTACCACTTTTTCCTTTCCTCACGCAATTTTGCATTCCCTACATCTTCCTGCATCCTTCGCCACCTGTGCCGCTCACCTGTGCAGGCAATTGTGGACGGGCTGAGAGAGAGCGTCCTCGCATTCTCACATGAAGTGGCAGGAACAACACCCAAGGATGTGTTGGATATGGTGCTTGTAACGCAGTACTTTGACACAATGAAGGATATAGGCGCGTCAGCCAAGAGCAACACGGTGTTCATTCCACATGCGCCGTCTCAGATTGCTGACATTTCTGCCCAGATTCGGAATGGGATGCTGCAAGGAAACATTAAGCAGGAATAGAAGGTTAGGATCGGCGTCTGTAGTGTGTGTGCAAGAAGCAAATGCATGTCATATGAGATGTGTACGTACAGTTCCAGTACTACCATACCTCTCTGTTAATGAAGAGAGCATCGCCTTCATGTATTGGGGGTTGGGTTGGGATGGGATGGTTGGGTTGAGTTTGACAATCAAGGTCACACAGTTGCTGTCCCAACTGGTAAATGAAATTAACTGCTGAGTGGAACAAATCAAATGCTAGTGAAGTTAGTTTACTATTCTGAGGTGTGCCATGAAGATTCGTTTGGACGTAGTTGCTTTTGAGGAGATGGGTGAACTCATCAACTGATAGATGTAACGTTGAGCATTCCAGGACACGTGGGTTCTCTTGACTGGATGTTGCTTTCTTACGTTTTTTCGTTGGCATGGGAGCGAGCTGGTGGCGTCAAACCTGGTCATCAAGGTTGTTGAGTCACACAGCTCAGCTGTTATCGCGAGTGTGATATTTTACTGCTCAATCTCCGCCACAGAATGAGGTTCCGATATTTGTTTTCTACCACGCTGAAGCCACTTTGTCCGTGGACCCTGGAGATTCACTATACGAAATGCTTGTGGGAATGTCAAGCGCGCCTATCAGCGTGAGTGAGACTGGACAGGTGGCAGCACTTACCAGTGGCGCCTTGAGAGGGTCATCATTTTCTCGTGCTTCTGGACATGAAGACTCGGGAATACTTTTGTGATTTTTTTTACTCCTGGCATACGTCACCTTCGATTCCGAAATCTCACATTTTGCATCTTCCACAAGTTTTTTGGGGCTGAATTGCCTCCTTAGGCCTGACAGCTGATTCCACGCAGGCAAATGATACTGCTTCATCGTGTGGATCTTGAATGGCTCCCCCAATAACAAGAGATCATGATTATGCTGTTCAGACGACGCGTCAGCGTCACATTCGGCAGCCTCACAGGTGGCTGCTCAATGCTCCCCTCCCTCTCCATGGATCTCACCCCGGAATGAATTCGTGGCCACATTTCTGGGTTCTCTATTCCATTATGGTCAGCAAACTGTATATTTCCCAGAATTTTAGCGATTCTACCAAGTGGGATGCCCATTTTTAGTGCAACAAACCCATCGTTTTTCTTACTCTGGGAAGCAAGCACTTGTTCGTTTCAACAAGATGCTCATAAATTCAAACAGCAGCCTGACCACTGTGCGGATGGTGCGAACTACTCACATCCACGAACAAGATGCTGCTGAGGGGAACACAGTGCCCTGCCCACGCACACAGATGGGGGTGATGACGATTTGCTCCCCAACCAGCAGCAACCCTTGCAGCTGAATCCTTTTCATCCATGCGACTTGCTGATGTGGCTGCTTCCTGCCCCCTAAAGCCAGCCACAAGAGGAGGACGAAGGGTCAAGGTTGTGGATGGGAACCTGTTGTTTGAGGGCAGAACAGAACAGAACAGAAAGAGTGTCGCCGTAGTCACGCGAATGCATTTCGTCACATTTTCCATTGTGATCCGGCAGCAAAATGCGTTACAGCATGTGGCGAATTCAGGCCGTGAATCGAGCTGGAAGGGAACCTTGAAATCTACGAGTGTTTTCTTGTTTGCAGTGGAACTTCAAGTGCGTTGTGTTCGCTGCCCTGCGTCACGTGCGACCGCATGAGAGCTCCTTCGTCATGTGGCCATAGTCCGCTCTTGCCTCCATTCTTTGTACACCGTGGCAACTGACGTAGAACCGACCAACCATAAACGAGAATGACTCGCGGCGTGCCTGTACCGCCTAGCCTGTCCCATTTCGTGCCTTGATATTCCCAGACATTTCAAGCCGCTCGTATCCATCGTTCCTGCCCCCCAATCAGGCAGCGCGACGCGTTGCCTGGGTCGCCAAAACCATAAAAATCGGGGGTTGGGTTTCGGTGAAACAAGACCTGGCACGGGACGGAACACGACGACCACAGATATTTCCCAGCGATGACCTGCTGCGAGGTCCTGTGAATCTTGCCTGCATTTGCCTACTGTTTTCTTAGGTATTTGTTGCCCATTGCCCAGCGCCCACGCTTCACATTCCTGCCCCCTGCCTGAACACACACACACACATACTGTTCGGTAGCCCTCCACTCCTCCATAGAACGCCTGCCCCGCATCCAATCCTTCGCTCAGCCGCAGACTCGCAACGAACCATCAACGCCACGCCACGCCACCCTTCCCTGTTCCACAATTTCCGTCTTTCACTCGCCATCCTCTCGGCACCTGCTTTACTACTCACCTCAACCTCCTTGTCTCAGCACATTTAGATTAAAGGCCGCTGTTTCATATTTCTCACCGTTCCAGAAGTCTCGTCCTTCGACGCATCCTCTAATTCCAGAAACTCTTGATCTGCTGTCAACCACAGGATTACCTGTGCCACCGCTAGACTCGTACTACATCTAGCAATTATGTCAGTTTTTCCAACACATTCCGTAGTTCCGACTCTTCTCCCATCAGCCTTTTCCTTGGTCTCCCGTACATCTTCCGCCATGGCCTCTTCCGCCGTTTGCGCCTTGTGCCCGGCACCCGCGACCGTCCACTGCCCCGCTGACAGCGCCAATCTCTGCGCGTCGTGCGATCTCGCAGTGCACAGCGCCAACACCATCGTGCACAGACACGTGCGCACCGTCCTCTGCCGCTGCTGCGCCGCCCCCACGACCGTGCAGATCTGCGGCCTCCCCGCATCCACCGCCGCCACTCCCCCTTGCATCTGCGCCTCCTGCATGATGCCTCTGCTCTGGCCGTCCACGGGATTCCCTGGAACGAACGCGGGTAACCTGGTTACCAACTCGCAGACGTCTGGGCCGTGCCCGCAGAGCTTAGCGGCTGCTACGGGTAGCCTACTGCCGGAAGGGCTTACGTCCGGTTCGGAGCGGCTTCTGCAGGGGTTCTTAAACGCTAGCTCGACTTTCTCCCTCGGGAACACCGCTGCTGCGCCGCCTCTCATGACCCATCTCCCGCGCCCGGCGGGGTTCGTGACGGGTGTCCGGGGTGGGCTTGTCCAGGCGGCGACTGTGACGCAGCTTGACGATAACTCTCCAATCAGCGTCCTCACGACGGAGTCTGACGTTTTCCGTTCGACGGATTTCGTTAACCAGCAACCGCGAGAGAAGATGCCACAGGAAGGGCTGTTTCACAGAGTACCGTCTCAAGACATGTTTCCTGGGTCGTTCCGACCAGAGGGGTTGATTCGACTGGAGGAAGCTGAGTCGTATCGAGCCTGCGAGCAGCAGCAGCAGCAGGAGCAACGTGAACACAGCCCGCTCACTCTGTCTCTCTTCCCCCTCTCCGCCGACGAAAGATCGTCCGCCGGGGGAATGGCGCGCAGAATTCACACTGATGTAACGGACGATAGCCGCGTGTCGTGCTGCGCTGTCCCGCCGCTGATTCCGGTCGACGAGCCGCAGAGGAAGCGGCAGCGGGTGCAGGCAGGGAGTGGCGTCGGCGCGTCGCGAGCAGCGTCGGCGTTTGTCCCCTTTGTAAGCGAGACTTGCACCCAGGTGAAGCAATTCGATGGTGCATCGACAATGGATGGGACGGGTCTGGGGAAGAGGCCATATGACGCGTGCGAGAAGCAGCGATTTCCGTCAACTGCGGAGGCAACAGGGGCAGCAGCACCAGGAGCGGAGCCTGCGCGGGGAAAGCTGGGCAAGACTGCTTCCGCGCGGCTCCGCCACGTGCTGCTGACGTGGCAGTCACGTTTAGGGCTTCAAGTACCCACCGTTCGCGCATTGGCTTTCCACATGCTTCAGCGCGTTCTGCTGCGGCTACAGCCGACGGATATGGCGGCGGAGTCGCTGCGCGTGCTGCTGGCCGCGTGTCTGTGGGTGGCGGCTAAGAATGAGGAGAACCAGAAGTGTGTACCGAAAGCGAAAGCGGTTGCTGCTGTAGCGAAGGTGCCTGTATCGCGTCTGGCTTCTTGTGAGATTGAGGTGCTGAAGATGCTGGACTGGCAGCCTCAGAAGGGGTTTAACAGCGAGACTCACGGATTTTGAAAGACCCTAATTTGGAGATGACCCTATTTGAAGCTTCCATTTTGCTGTCACTAGTTTTCGTCCTGGGTGCCAAGTTTAGACTTGATGACTTGGCAATGCTGTGCCTAGCAAGCTCACGGCTCTGCTTGCTGCAGCAGCCTAGTTCTAGGTAGACTTGTAGGAATATTGCTTACTCTCTTGCCCATAGCATGTCTATCCAGGCCTTCACATCTCAGTGCGATTTTTTCACTTGATACCTAGCTACTACCTCCTGATGTCTCGGTGATGTTCTATGCTTCATCTGCCCAGTCCTCACCCTCTCCTGGGTAGCTCTCGACGGCTACTTACCATGTGTTAGCAATGGGTACAAAACATCGCGATACACTCAGTAGACCTGCCAATATCGAAGACATCACAGATGGGTGGGGATCGGCGAATGTGTGGCATTTGAAGTAAATGTGCTCCAGGGTCCTGATAAGGGTCCTGATAAAACCAGTTTAAACCGTCTGAAATCCATGCAAAACGTTCAGAAACGCAAACGAATGGTATTACACCGCTCCAGGGCAACCACTTGTTGACTCAAAACAGTTCCTCAATTGAGACGAGACAAGATAGCGCTTGCAGTCAGAACAGGCAGGCAAGGCTCAGTTGAGGCGAGGACGAGCAGTATCACTCTGCTTTGGTACCCACACGGATGCGCCTACCACACACGGCTCCCCTTTTCCTTCCAACTCCAAGCCACCCACCAATGGCGCATTTTGTCGCGAATTTTCCCTTACCTGCTCCGAGCAGTTCTCATCCGCCGCGTTCCTCCCATTCTTCTCATTCCTCCTCTACCTCCTTCCCATTACCGCTTCTCGATCTCGCGGCTCGCGCCGCGGCTGCGAACGTCCCCGCACTTGCCGTTAATCTCCGCATCTTACCGCCGGAACTAGCGCGCCTCGTGTTCTCCGTCCTCCCGCGGCCCCTCGAGCTCTCCGCGATAGACGCCTTCGCGCGCGCCGGATTCTGGAAGCCCGAATCCCTCAACCTCACTGGTGTCTTATCCAAACAGCATCTTGCGAGATTTCCGGTGGGATTTCCGCCGGAATTTCTGGCGCGGGTTCCTTTGGAACGGCTAGCTGCGTTCGCGTCGTCGTTGCGTCGCGTGAATTTGAGCAACAGTCGCTTCCTTATGGACCTCCAGCCGCTAAGCGGTAAGAGCATATCGTTCTTCTTTGCTTGAAAAACGAGTCATGCTGAACGAGAGTGTAGTAGTTTTCTAAAAAAGCATCACATTCTTCACGGTAACATGATTCTCCTTCCACCCCATTCCACGACCATCCCCATCCCACAGCGCTGCCTCGCCTCTCCTGCCTTGGGATTGCCGCGTGCCCGTCTCTCCACCAATCAGCTCTCAACACGCTCTGCTGTAGGTTCCCCTACCTCCTGCCACTCCCTCTCTTCTACAATATTCGCAACGATCTAGTATTCATGACTTTCTCTTTTTGTCCCTTGTCCTCTCCCTCAGCTGAACAACTTTCATTGATGAAAGTTTTTCTTTAATATTTTTGGTTAACCTTACGCGGCAATGCACTGTCTACTCCCGCTCCTCCCGTTTGTGCCAGCTCCCAACCAACCTCCCCTCTGCCACCCCCCCTCCCCTCTCAGACCTCCCGTCGCTCACATGCCTTGACCTCTCATGCCTTGACCTCTCATGCAACCCTCGCTGGTCCACAACGCAATTCATCTCCACACCATCCTCCCCTTTCCCCCCTCCCCACCCACCCCCCTCCCCTCTCAGACCTCCCGTTCCTCACGTGTCTTGACTTCTCACGGAATTCTCAAGTCAACGACACCACTGCCACCGCTGTCATCCCCTGTAAACTGGTTCAGAGACCCCTTATTCACACACTACTCCAGCCCCTCTCCTTCTTCCCTGGTGTCCCCCCTTTCCCCTCCTCCCCGCAGACCTCCCGTCGCTCACATGTCTTGACCTCTCATGCAACCCTCGCTGGTCCACAATGCAATTCATCTCCACACCATCCTCCCCTTTCCCCTCCCTCCCTCCCTCCCTCCCAGACCTCCCGTCGCTCACATGTCTTGACCTCTCGCGCAACCCTCAATTTAATGACGCCGCTGCTTCCGGTGTCCTCCCCTGTAAGCCGGTTCAGGGTCTCAGGTAGGCGGTTCTTTCCCCTGTAGTTTGGACCAGGAAAGAACCCACGTTATTCCTTTTTTTACCCAACTTAGAAGGCGACTCTGTTTTGTTTTCGGTGAATGTCGACTGCCGCTGCCATGTCATCCCTTTTTTGAGTCAACTCAGAAAGACCTTGTAGCCCGTTATGGCGCCTAAGGCCAGGAACGAACCATCACCTGCTCCTCTTCATTCCACAGGGATCCCTTCTCTCCAGCATCTGGACTTGAGTCACACGGCAGTTGGCACCTTGTTCCTCGATTCGCTTTCAGTGCTCACCTTGTAAAAATTTCCCCTTCGCATTCTCTCCCCTTCTCTCCACAGGGATACACTGTCTCCGCCATCTGGTCTTGAGCTACACTGCAGCCACCGCCTCGTTCCCCCTGTCTCAGTCCATTTTTCAACACTTTCTCATCCTTCTTCTTCCCTCCTCTCCCCCTCTCCCGTTCTCTCCTCAGGGATCCCTTCTCTCCAGCATTTAGACCTCAGTTACACTGCGGTCACCACCTCGTTCCTTGATTCCCTCACCTACGGTGCGCGGCTGAAGGGGTGGCGGAACAATGCTGCGGAAGCTTCCAGGAAGGTGGAAGCGCGGAAGGCAGGTGGGTAAAAGAGTGAGGGATTTTGAGCGACGTTGTGAGCCGAGTTCGAAGGTTATAGAGCGGTGCTAATGGGATGGACGAACACTGCTGAAGAAGCTTCTAGGAAGAAACGAGAGAGATGTGCTGAAGTGGGAGAGCTGAAGGAAGGCTTTAGTTCAACTTAAGACTCGTTCCATCCCCCCACCTCTTTAGTCCATCTTTACTACACTACTGAAATGATTTCCCTCATTCTCTCACACGCACACTTCCCATCCATCCACGTCTAAAACCCCGTCTCTGCTCTGCTGCACTGCTGTGCAGCCAAGCGCCTGCGGTGAGCTCGAGTTGACTTCTGCGTCGACTCAAAAGTCAACTCTCGAGTGGTGCGGCTGAAATTAACTCAAAATTGCTCCCCATTGAGGTGATTTTCGAGGCGCCTCAGAAATCACGTCAAAAGTCAGCTCTCAATTGGTGCAACTGAAATTAACTCGAAATTGCTCCCCAATCATCAGCCTCTCTACCCCCATCTGTGCTCTGCTGCACCTGTCTCCAGCCAAGCGCCCTTGGTGGGAGGCAGCCACAGGCACAACGGCAGCTGCTGTCCCCAGCCCCCCACACGCCTCTATCTCTCACACACCTCCCATCCATCCGCCTCTGTACTCCCATCTCTGCTGCACCGCTGTCCAGCCAAGCGCCCCTGGTGGGAGGCGGCTCCAGACACAACGGCAGCTGCTGACCCCAGCCCACACTCCACCTTCACGAAGCGATTTCGCCTGAACCAGGAGCAGCAGCAGCAACAGCAGCAACACCAGCACCAGCAGCAGCAGCAGCAGCAGCTGCTACCAGAGAGACAGCCGCAAGCAGAATCCGAGCAGCAGGAGGTTGGTGAAGAGCAGTTGGAGTGGCGTGAGTGCTGTCTGGTGTACCTGCGGCTGCAGGGGACGACTGTGGACAAGGCTGGAGCAACACACCTGCTAGGTGCGCTGTGAGACGGCGGTGAACTTGTTTCGAAATTGCGAGAGAGCATGTGAAAGAGAGAAAATGAGTATTAGAGCATGTCTTGTGCCTCCTACTCTCTTTTGCATACCAAATGCATGGTAACGACCGACCATCACGGGTTGACTTTTGAGTCGACTCAAAAGTCACCTCTTCCACTCTCTTTTGCAAAAGATCCATGCACCAAACACATGGTACCGACCGATCATCACGAGGCATTTGCACCATGCTGCTGACATGGCCTAATGACACGTGTGCTGTAGAGCCTTGTCAGCCACGTGTGACTGATTCCTTTCTCAGAACCTTCCCGCATGTCATGCAGGTCTGAGTGCTACAGTGCCTCTGGGCGGCATGTTCTGTCTGGACTTGAGAGATACACTGGTGAAAGGCGACGTGCTGAGCAAGCTGAGATGTGAGCTGGGCGCTTGTCTTGTCAGCTGGGGGCGTGTGGCTGAGATGTGAGCTGGGCGCTTGTCTTGTCAGCTGGGGGCGTGTGGCTGAGATGTGAGCTGGGCGCTTGTCTTGTCAGCTGGGGGCGTGTGGCTGAGATGTGAGCTGGGAGCTTGTCTTGTCAGCTGGGGGCGTGTGGCTGAGATGTGAGCTGGGCGCTTGTCTTGTCAGCTGGGGGCGTGTGGCTGAGATGTGAGCTGGGCGCTTGTCTTGTCAGCTGGGGGCGTGTGGCTGAGATGTGAGCTGGGCGCTTGTCTTGTCAGCTGGGGGCGTGTGGCTGAGATGTGAGCTGGGCGCTTGTCTTGTCAGCTGGGGGCGTGTGGCTGAGATGTGAGCTGGGCGCTTGTCTTGTCAGCTGGGGGCGTGTGGCTGAGATGTGAGCTGGGCGCTTGTCTTGTCAGCTGGGGGCTTGTGGCTGAGATGTGAGCTGGGCGCTTGTCTTGTCAGCTGGGGGCGTGTGGCTGAGATGTGAGCTGGGCGCTTGTCTTGTCAGCTGGGGGCTTGTGGCTGAGATGTGAGCTGGGCGCTTGTGATGTGAGCTGGGGGCGTGTGGCTGAGATGGTGAGGTGTGGGGGTTTCTCAGCTGTGGATTAGACTTCCGTCTTTTAAGTTGGCTTCAAAAAAGGATTAGGATTATACCTTTGGTTGACGAAAGCTGCAGGTATTACATGCTTCTCTCTCCAGATGTTACATGGAGAGTGGACGGAGAAAAGATATCTCATGCTTCTCTCTCCTCGGTCCTCGTCCATCCGTCCACTCTCCAACCTTCCTCTTATCCTTCTCTCCCTTGCTTTCTCTCCCCTGCCTTCTTCCCTCCCAACAACAGCTACTTTTCATCTGCTCTCTTCACCCAACGAGCCTCGGCTTCTCTGCCGAACCAACGCCCTCGCTCTCAACATCCTCCGAACCTACCCAGGCCCGGGGGCCGAACCTAGCCACCGAACCAGCAGCCGTACCATGGCAAGTGGCTGGGATAGCGAGGAAAGAGCGGGCGAGAGAGGCAGAGGAAGAGGAAGGGGTGATAGATTTCTGGAGAGAGAGAGGGGAGTTTGGAGCGAGGCAGCAGAGGTAGAGGGGGGGGGGGGGGGGTAAGTCGAGGAACAGCAACAATTGAACAATCACGTCAACAAGCGTTTCACGCTCTCACGGACGAATCGTTATACTCTGTTGCGGTTACCAACGGAGTTACCACCAATATCACAGCCACCAACAAAATTACCATCTTCTTTTGCCCTTCTCACTACAGGAGGCAACGGCACCAGCAACAGCACCAGCAACAGCATCAGCAGGAGCTTTTGCACCATCGTCAGCATCATCAGCATTACTGCATGAGTGGATGTGTGGTTGCGAGCTGACTGGAGCTGGCACTGCTGCTGCCAAGCAGTCTGGCAGCAGCAGCAAGAGCAGCACGAGAAGCAGCAGTGGCGGCAGCAGCAGCGGCGGTGGCATAAGTGAAGGAAGGCATAAGGTGGGAGGGTACATGGAGAGACCTGATGTGGCAGCGTCTGATAGGCTGGAGAGTTGGATGCATGAAGGCGTGATGAGCTTCCTCTGCGCTCCTCCTCCCCGCACTTTCCTCCCTCCTCCACTTGCTCCTCCTGTCGCTCCTCCCCTCGCCCCTCTTCCTCCTCGTGGTATTACTGTTTCCTCTTCTATGCCTCTGCCACATCCTCCAGATTCACTATTTGCCACTCATCCGGCAGTCATGCCGTGACTGGTTTGATAGATGGGTGCCGTGAATGTTACATGTACACATCTTGTGTGTACGCTGATTACTACTGGGAGGACGGACATTCTAGCTTTTGCTACTTTTGCCTCCATCAGGTTACAGGGGTATTCACATCACAGCAGAGGGTGCAAATGTAAACGTTTAGGAAGAAAGGAGGTGTTCAGCTCCGTAAGCAAAATGGTACTACTGGAACTACATCAGAATTGACTGCTCTCATTGAGAGTTGAACTCAAGACCTCCCGCTTACTAAACGGGTGCTCTAACCAACTGAGCTATGAGAGCTGTTCTCAGTGACCCGTTATTTTTTTAGATCCTTGTTTGGCAGCTTCAACACCTTTCACTTCAATTTACATGGAAACACTCGTCAAGAAATCCAGCAGTTCTTCTATCCACTTTTTCCATTCCCTTCCGCACACCTCTCCATGTGCCCTAGGTCACGACCTTAATAAAACCTTAAACCTTAAACCCTCTCCATGTGCCCAGAGGCTGCAAGCAGACCTTTTAAAAGGTTATCTCCATCACTCAAGCTGGTTCCACTCGGAGTTCAGAGCCTACTGAACAGCTCCTTGATTTCTCCACGACAAGGCAGACCAGCACGTCTAGCACTTGTGAATCACTGGTGAGGAGAGCCAGACAAGGACTTACAAGAAGAGATGGACAAAGTGGTGAGGAACGAAAAACACATACAGACTTGCTCTCATTGAGAGTTGAACTCAAGACCTCCCGCTTACTAAACGGGTGCTCTAACCAACTGAGCTATGAGAGCTGCTTCATGCAGAAGAGTGGTTATTATATATCAATATTAAGCTTAACCTCCCCATCTTCCCACATTTTTGACATTGATTGACCGCCATGGACGGAAGGCATCACCAGAGGTAGGCGATAGGAATGACGTAAGGTTGCGTCGAGCTCGCCTAAGGAGCTCAGCCCTAGTTGTCTTACGGGCTTCCTCGGTAATGACATGTGCTAGCATAGCCTCATTGCCTTCCCTCTACGCGCTTCTCTCCTTCTGGTCATCATGGCATTCCCTACGTTCAGGGTGTTTTTGAGAATTCTCTAAAGACATGTGCTAACACGGCCTCATTTCCGTGCCTCTTCACGGTTCCTTCCATCTGGTCTCTGAAAGCATTCCCTACGTTCCTCGCACGTGACCCCACTCTGTTTTCAAGTGTCTGAATAAATATGCCGTTCCGACATGGCGACTTTTGAGGCGCCTCAGAAGCTGAATATATTCGCCATTGCGACATGGATAGCCAAGGACATTGAAACGCTTGAATCACCCAGGGGACGCTGAGTCTCGAACGATGTGTTTAACAGTGTGTCGGTCATTGTGTCAGTCACGGTGTAGTGTCGGTTGATGTATGTGACACTGTAGCTGACATTGTGACTGACATCCGAGTGTCATGTCTGTCATTGTGTCTGACATTGTGCCAGTTCAAGTGTCAATCATGGCACTAGCAGACATTAAATCTGACACATGCTCTGTTCTGACACACTAGCTGACACACTTTCTGACACACTAGCTGACACGTTATCTGACACACTATCTGACACACTATCTGGGGTACTATCAGACATTACCGTGCATCCCGCCATTGCCGCCGGCTCCTCTTCTCTATCCACTTCCCACTTGCTGCCCCCTCCCCTCCACTCCCCCTCCCGCCACCTAACCCCATTCCCACTCCCCTCCCTTTACCCTAACCTATCTTTCTCCAACCTCCCCTTCCCCTCCATCCCCCCCCCATCAACCACCCCCTCCCTCCCCTTCCCCTCCATCCCCCCCCATCAACCATCCCCTCCCCCCCCTCCCCCACCCCCTTCCCCCCTCAACCCTCCCTCCCTGTCCCCCCATCCTTCCACCCGGCTCCATTCCCCCCCCGGGATGCCCCCTTCCCCGCGCGCACTTCTCCCCGTCCCCAGACATGGCTCCGCGGGCGGAGGCGCGGGGCGGCAGGAGGGGAACCTGTGGGGGCAGGCGCGGAGCGTGTTCATGAGCGCAATACTGGCGGAGCCTCCCCCTGAAATCCGGAGAGAAGGTGCGGAAGTGGGGGGGTTGGGGTGGATGGATGGGGGGAGGGGGGGGAGGGGTGTAAACGCGGAGCATGTTCATGAGCGCCATACTGGCGGAACCCCTTCCGGATATCCGCAGAGAAGGTGGGGAAGTGGGGGATGAGGGGGAGATGGGTGGAAGCATGACGGGGGGTGGGCAGGCGCGGAGCGTGTTCATGAGCGCCATACTGGCGCAATATTGGCGGAACCTCCCCCAAAACCTGTGGGGGCAGGCGCGGAGCATGTTCATGAGCGCCATACTGGCAGAGCCCAACGCGGGGAGGGAGGGGAGGGGTGTCAGCTCGGAGCGTATTCATGAATGCCATACTAGCGGAGCCTCCCCCAGAGATCCGCAGAGAAGTTGGGGAAGTGGGGAGTGGAACGGGAAGGGGAGGAGGGGTTTGCTTCAACAATCCTCCCTCTCCCCCTTCTGCCCTCTCTTCCCCCAACGTAACTCCCCCAGTTGTTACTCGTCCCACAATCAGCACTGGCACAGTCAGCGGCGCAGACGCGCTCACGATGCTGCTGGCAGGGAATGACATCGGTATCGTGCGCCGCCGAGACACCGCCCCTGCTGCTGCTGCTGCTGCTGGTGCTGCTGCTGGTGCTGCTGCTGCTGCTGGTGCTGCTGCTGCTGCTGGTGCTGCTGCTGGTGCTGGTGCTGGTGCTGGTGGTGCTGCTGCTGCTGCTGCTGCTGCTGCTGCTGCTGCTGCTGCTGCTGCTGCTGCTGCTGCTGCTGCTGCTGCTGCTGCTTCTGCTGCTGCTGCTGCTGCTGCTGCTGCTGCTGCTGCTGCTGCTGCTGCTGCTGCTGCTGCTGCTGCTGCTGCTGCTGCTGCTGTTGCTGCTTCTGCTGCTGCTGCTTCTGCTGCTGCAGCTTCTGGTGGTGATTCTTGAGGCGCTTCAACAGGCCCTCTCTCCCTTCTACCCTCCCTTCCCCCCACCCGTCCAGTTACTCGTCCCACAATCAACACCAGCACAGTCAGCGGCGCCGGCGCGCTCACAACGCTGCTGGCAGGGAATGACATCGGTATCGTGCGCCGCCGAGACACCACCCCTGTTGCTGCTGGTGGTTCTGGTGGTGGTGTTGGTGGTGATGCTGCTGCCTGCCAGTGGTGATTCTTGAGGCGCTTCAACAATCCCTCTCCCCCTTCTCCCCTCTCCCCCCCATCCCACTTCCTCAGTTACTCGTCCCACGATCAACACCGGCACAGTCAGCGGCACAGACGCGCTCACAACGCTGCTGGCAGGCAATGACATCCGTATAGTGCGCCACCGAGACACACCTATCTTCCTTCTCCCCTCTCCCCTCTCTCCTCCTTCTCCCTCTTTTCCCCCATCCATCCAGTTACTCGTCCCACGATCAACACCGGCACGGTCAGCGGCACAGACGCCCTCACAACGCTGCTGGCAGGGAATGACATCGGTATAGTGCGCCGCCGAGACACCTCTATCCCCCTTCCCCCATCTCTTCCCCCATCCCATCCCCTCAGTTACTCGTCCCACGATCAACACGGGCACAGTCAGCGGCACAGACGCGCTCACAACGCTGCTGGCAGGGAATGACATCCGTATAGTGCGCCGCCGAGACACCACCCCTGCTGCTGCTGGTGGTGGTGGTGGTGGTGGTGGTGGTGGTGGTGGTGGTGCTAGTGGTGGTGGTGGTGGTGCAAGTGGTGCATCAGGCAGTGGAGTGGGGAAGGGAGAGGGCGGGCAGGGAAGAGGGGTCAACGGGGGCGCGGGAAGGGGGGCAGGGAGAGGCGGAGGAAGGGGAGGGGAGGATGGGAGGGAGAGGGGAGGGGTGAGTGAGGAGGAGAAGGAGGCACTGTTTGCAATGGCTGCTCGGCACGAGTGGATGTCGTATCTGAGGGAAGAGATACTGCTGCTGCACGTGAGTAACGTTTCATAGTATCTGTTTTGATTTCGAGAATGAAATGTGCTGTGGGAATCATTTCTGCTGCTGCTGGTGGTGCACGTGAGTAAGATATTCTCTGTCAATCCGCCTGCGTTCTCACCCTTCCCCTTCCCCCTTGCAGATTGAGAGCGTCAGAACGAGCTGGTGGCGACCCAGCAGCAGCAGAAGAAGAAGAACCGTCTCTTACAAGACTCGAATGCGTATCCTCCCCGTGTAATTCTGTGCTGTACACCCTCCCTCCCTTCCCCGTGCATTCTCACCCTTCACCTTCCCCCTGGCAGATTGAGCGACAGAACGAGCTGGTGGCGGCCCAGCAGCAGCAGAAGAAGAAAGGCGGAGGCACACCCACTGCTGCCGCCGCTGGTGAGTGCGTTTTTAGGGCACACCCACTGCTGCTGCTGCGTCTGCCGCTGCTGGTAATTGCTTTTGGAGTGCCCTCACTTTTTCGCCCCTCTCACCCCTTCTCTCCGGCAGCAGCCAGCAGCAGGAGCGTGTGGGCGCCAACCAACGACCCAGCAGCCATGCTCCAAGCCAAGCTAGACGTTGAAATGCCTCAGTTCAACACCCGCCCTCTCCCCCTGCTGCTGCCTCTCTCCCCTCTTCCCAATGTTCTCCCGCACCCTCCCATTCACCCTTTTCTTTGGCAGCAGCCAGCAGCAGGGCCGTGTGGGCGCCAACCAACGACCCAGCAGCCATGCTGCAAGCGAAACTCGATGTCGAAATGCCTCAGTTCAAGTCCCGCCCCCCTGCTGCTGCCTCTGCCGCCGCCGCTGCCGCTGCCAAGGGGGAACTCTGGCGCAAAAAAAGCTCCGCCCTGGGGGAATCAGGGGAAACTCTGCAGGAAAAAAGGGCGGTTTTGCAAGTGTCCCAGTCTACGCGGGTGTACGGCGGTCCGGTGATGGAAGGGAGGAATGTGGGCAGGGTGAAGAGTGGAGGAGAGGCAGGGATTGGTGAGGGGGAGGAGGAGGAGGAAGAGGAGGGTGGTATGAGTGCTGCCAGCGTTGCTGCTATAGGGTTTGCATCTGCTTCCGTTGGCGGTGCTGCTGCTGGTGCTGCTGGTGATGCTGCTGGTGCTGGTGGCATTGGCGGAACAACGGCTGCTGCTGTTGCTGCAGCTGTGGCGGCTGCTGGCCCTGCTGCTGCTGACTCGATTGCTGCTGGCGCTGCTGACCCACTCTGTGAGCCCATCTTCCACTGTTGCTTGTTTTGAGTCGAGTTTTGTGTCGACTCAAAACACGACTGCTGCTGGCACTGCTGAACCACTCTGTGAGCCCATCTTCCACTGTTGCTTGTTTTGAGTCGACTTTTGTGTCGACTCAAAACAGGATTGCTGCTGGCGCTGCTGACCCACTCTGTGAGCCCATCTTCCACTGTTGCTTGTTTTGAGTCGACTTTTGTGTCGACTCAGAACACGACTGCTGCTGGCGCTGCTGAACCACTCTGTGAGCCCATCTTCCACTGTTGCTTGTTTTGAGTTGACTTTTGTGTCGACTCAAAACACGACTGCTGCTGGCGCTGCTGACCCACTCTGTGAGCCCATCTTCCTCTGTTGCTTGTTTTGAGTCGACTTTTGTGTCGACTCAAAACACGACTGCTGCTGGCGCTGCTGACCCACTCTGTGAGCCCATCTTCCACTGTTGCTTGTTTTGAGTCGACTTTTGTGTTGACTCAAAACACGACTGCTGCTGGCGCTGCTGACCCACTCTGTGAGCCCATCTTCCACTGTTGTGTTGTTGTTTGCTTTGGGAGTCCCGTGGAGTGGGAGCAGCTCGTCTGCGGCTGCTGCTGTTGCTTCAGCTGTGGCAGCTGCTAGTCGTGCTGTTGATTGGACTGCTGCTGGCGCTGCCGACCCACTGTGTGAGCCCGTCCGCCAGTGCTGGTTGTTTTTTAGAGCCCTGTGGAAAGCAGCTCGGCTGCTGGCCCTGCTGCTGCTGACTCGACTGCTGCTGGCGCTGCTGACCCGCTCTTTGAACCCATATTCCACTGTTGCTTGTTTTGGAGCTGGCTGGGCTGGTTCGTTCACCCTAAACCTCCGACTTTTGAGTCAACTCAAAAGTCACCTTGCAGCTGACCTACTCTGTAAGCCGCCCATCTTCCAGTGCTGCTTGTTTTGAGTTGACTTTGAGTCGACTTTTGTGTGGACTCAAAACGCGACTGCTGCTGGCACAGCTGACCCACTCTTTAAGCCGCCCATCTTCCAGTGCTGCTTGTTTTGAGTCGACTTTTGTGTCGACTCAAAATGCGACTGCTGCTGGCACAGCTGACCCACTCTGTAAGCCGCCCATCTTCCAGTGCTGCTTGTTTTGAGTCGACTTTGAGTCGACTTTTGTGTCGACTCAAAACGCGACTGCTGCTGGCACAGCTGACCCACTCTGTAAGCCGCCCATCTTCCAGTGCTGCTTGTTTTGAGTCGACTTTTGTGTCGACTCAAAACGCGACTGCTGCTGGCACAGCTGACCCACTCTGCAAGCCGCCCATCTTCCAGTGCTGCTTGTTTTGGAGCAGGGCTGTTCGTTCACCCTAAACCTCTGCTGTGGACCGTGCGATGTGACTTGATTTGACGAGGATGATTCGCGGAGGAGATATTGAAAGCACTTTTGAGAATTCTCAAAGGCGATTTCAATATAGCATGCGATGTGATTTGACGAGGATGATTCGCAGAGGAGACTCTGACGTCTCAAGAATGCTGCTGTGGATGATGCACTGTGATGTGACTGATGTGTTGTGATGTGATTTTCTCCTTCTCTTTCCGCCCTCTCCTCTCTTTCTTCTTACCCCTCTCCCTCCGCGCTCCCTCCTCTCCCTCCTCTCCCTCCTGCCCTCCGCTCCCTCCTCTCCCTCCGCTCCCTCCTCTCCCTCCGCTCCCTCCTCTCCTTCCTCTCCCTCCTCTCTCTCCGCTCCTTCCTCTCCTTCCTCTCCCTCCTCTCTCTCCGCTCCTTCCTCTCCCTCCTCTCCCTCCATTCCCTCCCCTCCCTCCTCTTACCCGTCTCCACAGCCCGGCGTGCATCAAGTGGGGAGGGGGCGGCCAAGGCAGCAGCAGAGGCGGCTGCAGTCGAAGCCCCTCACTGCAGTCGAAGCCCCTCACTGCAGTCGAAGCCCCTCACTGCAGTCACTTTCGAGTCGACCTTTGCTGACTCTCCTGTCCGTTCCTCCCTCTTCTCCAACCTCTCCTGCTCCCCTTTCTCCCTCCTCTCCCTCCCCTTACCCCTCTCCCTCCCCCTACTATCCCTCTCCACAGCCCGGCGTGCATCAAGTGGGGAGAGGGCGGCCAAGGCAGCAGCAGAGTCTTTTCAGCAAGCAGGTGGTGACATGACATACTATCGAAATGAATTGGGATTTTGCCGCCTCCCCCTTTTCTCTCTCCCTCTCCACAGCACGGCGTGCATCAAGTGGGGAGGGGGCGGCCAAGGCAGCAGCAGAGGAAGCCCCTTAGTTGGTGAATTCGGAGTCAACCCTTCTGCCCCCCCTCCCTTTTCTTACCCCTCTCCACAGCACGGCGTGCATCAAGTGGGGAGAGGGCGGCCAAGGCAGCAGCAGAGGCGGCGACAACGGGCGGGCAGAGGATGATTCGCGTGTGGGAGAGGATGAAACGCATCATCCCCAGCAACCCCTCTTCTGCCGCCGCTGCTGCTGCCTCCGATGCCGCTGCTGCTGGTGGCGATAGCAGCAGCAATTTCCTACCAGAGGTGAGTCAGGATGTGAATAGGGTGGAGAGATTATGGGTCAAGAGATGAAGAGAAATCACTTTTGAGGATTCTCACAAGTGATTTCAACGTCGCCGCTGCCTCTGATGCCGCCGCTGCTGGCGGCAATAGCAACAGCGAGTTCCTACAAGAGGTGAGTAAAAAAAAAGAAAGGAGTACAGGTCATCAAGATACGAAGAGAAGGGGATCTGTACTCTCCCATACTCCCCCCCCCCCATCACCAACCAACCAACCAACCCCAACAGGCGTGTCATCGCAGCCATTTGAGCCAGTCGTTTTTGGCCTCTCTGTTCAGCTGGAACACATCCCAGACGACCAGTGTTTTTTGAGAGACCAGTCGTTTTTGGCCTCTCTCAAAAAACACTCTGTTCGGCTGGAACACATCCCAGACGACCACAGATGCCCCTCCTGGATTGCAATTAACCTTCCTGTTGCACCCATGCCCAAGCCCATGCCGCAATCAACCTTCCTTCTGCCCATCCTCCCCTCGCTCTCTCCTACCTCCCACGCACTCCCCCTCTCCCTCCCCCATTCCACCCCCACCAGGCATGTCATCGCATCGCAGCCATCTCAGCCAGTCGCTCTCGGCCGGACTGATCCCAGCCGACCAGAGGGGTCCCTCCTGGATTGCCCTGTTGCTCTCCCTCATGCTGGTCACTAACTCCCCCTCTGCCCATCCCCCACACTCCCCCATCTCCTCCGTTGCACCAGGCATGTCATCGCAGCCATCTCAGCCAGTCGCTCTCGGCCGGACTGATCCCAGCCGACCAGAGGGGTCCCTCCTGGATTGCCATGGCATGCTCCGACCATGAGGTATGGCAGCTCCAAACTTGAGGTATGGCAGCTCCAAACTTGAGGTATGGCAGCTCCAAACTTGAGGTATGGCAGCTCCAAACTTGAGGTATGGCAGCTCCGACCCTGAGGTACAGCATGCTCTGACCCTGAGGTATGGCATGCTCCGACCCTGAGGTATGGCGTGCTCCGAACCTCGTCTTATGTGTCGGGTGACTCCATAATCTCTTGTCTTGTTTCTCCTCCACTCCACACCAGGACGATCTCATCAATCGCACCAGCTACACGCTGCTGAGCCGAGCAACGCTCCTGCTGAGAGCCCCCCCTTCGTCCAAGTCCTCTTCCCTTCTCTCTGTCCTGGGTCGGTTTTTGAGTCGACTCAAAACTTGACCTTATCAATCACACCAGCTACACGCTGCAAGCCGAGCAACGCTCCTGCTGAGAGCTCCCCCTTCGTCCAAGTCTCTGTCCTTCCATTCCCCTCCCTGCTCCCACACCAGGACGATCTCATCAATCGCACCAGCTACACACTGCTCAAGGAACGCGCTGCCTCTGCCCCTCCCACTACGTATGGCACACAAGCCGTTTGCTCTGATCACTCTCGTTTCCCCCGTTTCGACTTCCCTTCTCCCTTCCCTCCCTCCCTCTCCTCCCTTTCAGTTCACTCCTTTTGCTTTGCTCCTCCCCGTCGTCCTCTCTCTTTTGAGTCAACTCAAAACTCTCTTCCCCTTCAGTTCTCTCCTGCTTTGCTCCCTATCCATCTTCCTCTCTCTTTTGAGTCGACTCAAAACTCTCTTCCCCTTCAGTTCTCTCCTGCTTTGCTCCCTATCCATCTTCCTCTCTCTTTTCTCTGTTTCTCACATCCCCTTCAGCACTCTGTATATCTATATAAACATGTTTTTCCTTTCATTCTTCTCCGTTTTGCCCTTCCTTCCAGAGAGGTATACCGTGACACGCTCTGTGTGGTGCTAGAGTGGAGGGAGAAGCAAGCACAAGCACTCCTCCTGAAGCAGGAACAGCAGCAGCAGCAGCAGCAACAGCAGCAGGAGAAATGGCATGGCGATAGTAACCAGGAGGGTAACCAGGAGGGAGAACAGGACGCAGCAGCAACATCAGGCAGCGGAGCATCTGTCCCCTCTATAGCGTTCTCCCCTAAGCGCCCCCCTGCTGCTGTGGCTGCTGAGAAAGTGGCTAAGCTGATGGCTGCTGCAGCTGAGAGGCAGGCCCGGGAAGCAGCACAGATCGCATCTGCTGCTGCTGCTGCTGCTGCTGCTGCTGCTGCTGCTGCTGCCGCTGCTACCGCTTCTGCTGTTGGTGATGACTCTGCTCCTGACGCTGCTGCTGCTGATGCTGCTGTTGCTGATGCTGCCGATGCTGCTGCTGCTGCTGCTGCTGCTGCCGGGGAAGGTGTGAGTGTGGTGGTGGTGGGGGTGGAGGATGGGCTGAGTGAGGAGGACGCAGCTCTGCACCAGTCGCTGCTGAACCTCATCAAAGCATACTCTGTGAGTTTGAAGCCTTAGAGCTGCCTTGTCTGTCAGTTAGCATTGTTGCTGCAGCTGGTGCTGGTGCCGGGAAAGGTGTGAATGTAAGAGTGGTGGGAGTGGCGGATGGGTTGAGTGAGGAGGACGCAGCTCTGCACCAGTCGCTGCTGAACCTCATCAAAGCATACTCTGTGAGTTTGAAGCCTTAGAGCTGCCTTGTCTGTCAGTTAGCATTGTTGCTGCAGCTGGTGCTGGTGCCGGGAAAGGTGTGAATGTAAGAGTGGTGGGAGTGGCGGATGGGTTGAGTTTTGAGACGTGTCAAAACTCGAAAGGTGTGAATGTAAGAGCGGTGGGGGTGGAGGATGGGTTGAGTGAGGAGGACGCAGCTCTGCACCAGTCGCTGCTGAACCTCATCAAAGCATACTCTGTAAGCAACTTTTGAGACGTCTCAAACCTCATCAAAGCATATTCTGTGAGCATCGTTGCTGCTGGTACTGCCGGGGAAGGTGTGAGTGTGATGGTGGTGAATGTACTGTGTGAGAAGGGACAACTTTCTACACCAGTCACTTCTGAATCTCATCAAGCATACTCTGCGGGTTGAAGGCGCAGAGGCAAGTCGAAGAAGATTTTCTTTTGTGCCGATTAGTAATTGCCTCTGGGTTCAGACGCCTCCTAGGGAAGCTTTGCACCAGTTCGCTGAACCTCCCACAGTTCAAGTCACTAGCAGGGCCTCACAGCTATGTGCCATGTGCATCCCTCCTCCCCACTGCCACACTCTCCCAGGTGTGTGACCCGGTCACGTGGTACTGCAGCGGCATGGGGTGGATGGCGCTCACATTACACTGCTCTCATATCTCACACCCCTCCTTCATCCTTCCCCCCTTGTCCCCCCCCCTCAGGTGTGTGACCCGGACACGTGGTACTGCAGTGGCATGGGGTGGATGGCGCTCACGCTGCTCTCCCTCATGGCGGAGGAAGATGCCTTCCTCTCCCTCCTCTTCCTCATGCACCGCTGCGGCCTCCGAGGGCTCTTTGCACCCAACATGCACCAGGTGGGTGCGGCTGAGATGAAAGAGAGGGAAAGGCACCTCTTTGCACCCAACATGCACCAGGTGGGTGCGGCTGAGATGAAAGAGAGGGAAAGGCACCTCTTTGCACCCAACATGCACCAGGTGGGTGCGGCTGAGATGAAAGAGAGGGAAAGGCACCTCTTTGCACCCAACATGCACCAGGTGGGTGCGGCTGAGATGAAAGAGAGGGAAAGGCACCTCTTTGCACCCAACATGCACCAGGTGGGTGCGGCTGAGATGAAAGAGAGGGAAAGGCACCTCTTTGCACCCAACATGCACCAGGTGGGTGCGGCTGAGATGAAAGAGAGGGAAAGGCACCTCTTTGCACCCAACATGCACCAGGTGGGTGCGGCTGAGATGAAAGAGAGGGAAAGGCACCTCTTTGCACCCAACATGCACCAGGTGGGTGCGGCTGAGATGAAAGAGAGGGAAAGGCACCTCTTTGCACCCAACATGCACCAGGTGGGTGCGGCTGAGATGAAAGAGAGGGAAAGGCACCTCTTTGCACCCAACATGCACCAGGTGGGTGCGGCTGAGAGCGAGGTTTTATGCATACACACTAAGGGTTTTATGCATACACACTAAGGGTTTTATGCATACACACTAAGGGTTTTATGCATACACACTAAGGGTTTTATGCATACACACTAAGGGTTTTATGCATACACACTAAGGGTTTTATGCATACACACTAAGGGTTTTATGCATACACACTAAGGGTTTTTGCTCTCAGGAAAGATCCCATTGTCATGACCCCTCTGTCATGACCCCTCTGTCATGACCCCTCTGTCATGACCCCTCTTCCTTTCAAATCACACCCAACTCCCTCTCTCCCCTCTTCCCTCCCTCTTTCCCCTATCCAGCTCAACACGCGTCTCTCCCAGTTCCTCACAGAGACCACGCCTCTCCCAGCTTCAGCTTCAAATTTCACTGTCTTTTCATACTTGCTCTAGCCTAAACCTAAGTGCCGCTGCTCACTGGAAGATGTCCAAAGTTCCTCACAGAGACCACGCCTCTCCCAGCTTCAGCTCTCAGCTCAATGTGAAACCCTCTCTCTCTCTTTCTTTCTTCCTCTCCTCCCCCTTCCCCCCCCTCTCGAGCTCAACACGCGCCTCTCGCGGCTTTCCCAGTTCCTGGCGGAGTCCATGCCTCTCCCACACAGCTCTAAGCTCACTGTCGAAACTGCCTCTCTTTATCGCCCTCTCCTCCCTCTCCTCCCTCTCCCCCCTCTCCCCAGCTCAACACGCGTCTCTCCCAGCTCTCCCAGTTCCTGGCAGAGTCCACACCTCGCCTGCATTCTTTCTTCGAGGACCTGCAGCTTAAACCCGTGAGTTGACTCAGTCTGAGTTGACTTGCCTTGACTTGAGTTGACTAGATCTATTCATGTGCACTTGTGATGACTTTGCCTCGCCTGCATTCTTTCTTCGAGGACCTGCAGCTCAAACCCGTGAGTTGACTCAGTCTGAGTTGAATTGCCTTGACTTGAGTTGACTAGATCTACTTATGTGCACTTGCGATGACTTTGCCTCGCCTGCACTCCTTCGAAGACCTGCAGCTCAAACCCGTGAGCCTATTGAGCATCACTTGAATTTACTTGACTTGAGTTGAGTTGACTCGCATGAGTTGACTTGCATGAATGAACTTGTGTTGCGTATGAGTTGAGTTGTCTATTCTTGCTTATTCGCCTCGCATGCACTCCCTCTTGAGGACCTTTGAGTCAACTCAAAGTTGCTCACCTCGCATTCGCTCCTTCTTTGTGGGCATGAGTTGACTGGTGGTCACTGGTTGACCACCAACCGACATCCTTATTGCCCCCTTTCCTCCCCCGCTGCCCTCTTCCCCATGCCTCCACCAGAGCATGTATGCAGCGGATTGGCTGCTCTCCCTATTTGCCCGCCACATGCCGCAGTACCTCGTGTATCGCGTCTTCGACATCGTGCTCGGTATGTGCCTCGTGTGGTGTGCTGTGTGCCTTGTGTGTTGCCTTGGACGCAATGTGTCCCTCTTCGCCCGCCACATGCCGCAGTACCTCGTGTATCGCGTCTTCGACATCATGCTCGGTATGTGACTCATGCCCGCCCCATGCATGGTTCATCCATACCATACCTTGTGCCTCGTGTATTCCTAGATGCAACGTGATAAAAGAGAGTTTTTGAGACGTCTCAAAAACTCCCTATTATCACGTGGTGTGGCAACCTGCGCTGCGCCCAATGCCTCGGTACCTCATGAATGCACTGTGCCTTTGACATCATGCTCGGTATTAGACTGATACATGACTCGTGTAAGCCGTGTGCTCTTGTATGCAACAAGTGCCTCATACACTCCACTCATACCAGCTTCTCCATGTCGTCTCCTTGTCCTCCCATCCTGCCCACATCGCATCGCATCACACCACACCACACCACACCACACCACATCACAACCACAGCTGAGAAGACCATGTCAGTTGTGTTCAAGCTCGCTATAGTGCTGCTGCAGGTACGAATATTCAAACCACTAAAACCAATCATGGAACTGTTTGCACCCCTCGTTCTTCCTTCATTCATTAACCTCCCTCTTTTTTCGCGCGTAATTCCATTTGCCTCCCCAACTACCTCGTCTGAGGCACCTCAAAAGTTGTCTCCCACTGCCTATTTCTTCGCACTCTTATGCTCTTCTCCCCTCCGCCTCTTCTCACTCTTATGCTCTTCTCCCCTCTGCCTGTTATCTTCTCCCCTCCGCCTCTTCTCACTCTTATGCTCTTCTCCCCTCTGCCTGTTATCTTCTCCCCTCTGCCTGTTATCTTCTCCCCTCTGCCTGTTATCTTCTCCCCTCTGCCTGTTATCTTCTCCCCTCTGCCTGTTATCTTCTCCCCTCTGCCTGTTATCTTCTCCCCTCTGCCTGTTATCTTCTCCCCTCTGCCTGTTATCTTCTCCCCTCTGCCTGTTATCTTCTCCCCTCTGCCTGTTATCTCCCTCTGCCTGTTATCTTCTCCCCTCTGCCTGTTATCTTCTCCCCTCTGCCTGTTATCTTCTCCCCGCCTTTCCCCTCCCGTAGGTCACCCGGCGTCAGCTAATGCTGTGTCCAGAGTTCGATTACTGTCTGCACTTCCTGCACTCTGAGCTGCCTCTGGAGCTCAATGTGAGTGAGTGAGTGAGTGAGTGAGTGAGTGCATGAGGAAGTGCCGGTAATGCCTGCACCGCACTGCCTACACCGCACTGCCTGCACCGCACTGCCTGTACCGCACTCCCTGCACCGCCTGCACTGCCTGCTCTGCCTCTGGAACTCAATGTGCGTGAGTGGGTGAGTGAGTGAGTGAGTGAGTGGGTGAGTGAGTGAGTGAGTGAGTGATTGGGTGAGTGGGTGAGTGAGCGCATGCGTGAGTGAGTGATGGTGATTGCCTCATTGCACCGAGCTTGAAAATGACGATACTGCTGCCTGCCGTGCCTGCCTTGCACTGCTGCACTGCACTGCACTGCACTGCACAGCACTCCGAGGTGCCCTTGGAACTCAGCGTGCGCCTGTCGCGTGTGAAAGTGACTGGTACACTCGTCGTCACATCACATCACACCCTCCTCTTTCCCGCCACTTCCCTCCTGTCCTCCCTTCCCTCCCAATCAGCTCCTCCCCGACAGGGAAGAGGAGGAGCTGGTGTCCAAGGCACTGAGGGTGCGCCTGCTTTCTGAGATTAGATTATTTGGCGCAGAACACCCTCCCCAGTTCCTTCCCTCCCTCTTTCTCTTCCCTCCCTCGCCCTGTTTCCCTCTCCCCATTTCCCCCAATCAGCTCCTCCCGGACAGGGAAGTGGAGGAGCTGGTGTCCAAGGCTCTGAGGGTGCGCCTGCCATTTGAGAGCGTGCTGCGGCTGGAGGCAGGTGAGTGAGAGAGACCAGGGGGGAATGAGAGCAGGGGAAGCAGAAGGGGAGCAGGGGGTGGTCAGAACTGGGAAAGGCTGTATCGGGGCTTGGGAGTGCGGTAAGGTAGGTAGAGTGTGTCTCCAAGAGAGGCCCTGAGGGTGCGCCTGCCTGTAGTGAGGTGCATTTTGAGGCGCCTCAAAATGCACCTCACTACACGCGGGTGGTCAGAACTGGGAAAGGCTGTATCGGGGCTTGGGAGTATGGTAAGGTAGGTAGAGTGTGTCTCCAAGAGAGGCCCTGAGGGTGCGCCTGCCGTTTGAGAGAAGCAGGTGGGAGAGGGACGGGGGGTGGTTGGGACAAGGGACGGTCAGGACTGGGCGAGGTCCTATCTGGGCTAGGGAATAGCTGGGAATGTGAGAGGGACGAGGGAAAAGGCGAGACAGGAGGCGCAGGCTGCCGCAGCTTGCAGAGGCGTCGAGCCAACCATGTCGTTCCAATGCTTTCGTTCCATTCCCCCTTTCTTAAACACCAATGTACCGTACCCCCTTTGCAGAGTACGACCAGCTGGCGGGGGAAGCGGCGGTGGCAGCACAGGAGGTGCAGGCAGCAGCAGAGGCGTCAAATCAACTATGCCTTGCTCCTGATTTCCACGCTGCCCCTTGAACGCCCATCTTCTGCCCTCTGTGCAGAGTACGACCAGCTGGCGGGGGAAGCGGCAGTGGCGGCACAGGAGGTGCAGGCAGCAGCAGAGGCGAGTGAGGTGGCTGCAGAGTCGTGGGAGCGCGACAGGCAGGAGATGGAGGGGGAGCTGCTGCACGCGCTCGAGGTGAGATGCCTTGGTGTCTGGCAGTTGTATGACTGGTGCTGCCTTGGTGTCTGGCAGTTGTATGACTGGTGCTGCTACTGTCTTGAGGCGTCTCAAAACCCGTGTCTCTGTCCTCTCTCCCAAATCCCACGTTCCCACTCCTTCCTGCCGCCACCAGCTACTGGGTTCACCTCAGACATACCTCTCAGCGCTCCTCTCTCACTTCAAGACTTGAAACGTCTCATGCCCCCGGCCTTACTCCTTCCCCCTCTCCCAACCACCCCCCTTCCCCCCATCAGCTACTGGGTTCATCCCAGACATACCTCTCGGCGCTCTTCGCTCACTTCAAGGCTGTGCAGGCCCGTGCCGGCCCCACCAGACAGCTCAGCGCTGCTGCTGCTGGTGCTTCCAACCCTGATGTTTCCAAGTCTGACCCACTGGTTGCTGCTGGGTCTGCCGAACCTGCTCCTTCTGAGCCTGCCAAGTCTGCCACTGCTGGGTCTGCCGAACCTGCTGTTGCTGAGTCCGCCGAACCTGCAATTGCTGAGTCTGCCGAAACTGCTGCTGTTGAATCTGTCGAGCCTGCCGCTGCTAAGTCTGCCGAGCCTGCCGTTGCGGAGTCTGCCGAACCTGCCGCTGTTGAATCTGCCGAACCTGCCACTGCTGAGTCTGCCGAGCCTGCTGTTGCGGAGTTGTCTGCTGAGCCTGTTGCTGCTGAGACTGCCGAGCCTGCCTCTGCTGGTTCTGCCGAACCTGCCGCTGCTGAGTCTGCCGAGCCTGCTGCTGCTGCTGAATCTGCAGAACCCGCAGCTGCCGAGTCTGCCGAACCTGCTGCCGCTGAGACTGCTGAACCTGCTGCTGCTGAGTCTGCCGAACCTGCTGCTGCTGAGTCTGCCGAACCTGACGTTGCTGAGTCTGCCGAGCCTGTCGCTGCTGAGTCTGCCGAGCCTGCCGCGGCTGAGTCTGCCGAACCTGCTGCCGCTGAGTCTGCTGAACCTGCTGCTGCTGGTTCTGCCGAACCTGCCGCTGCTGAATCAGCCGAGCCTGCTGCTGCTGCTGGGTCTGCTGAACCTGCTGCCTCTGAATCTGCCGAACCTGCTGCAGCTGAATCTGCCGAACCTGCCCCTGCTGAGACTGCCGAACCTGCTGCTGCTGAGAGTGTCAAACCCACTGCTGCTGAGTCTGCCGAACCTGCCGCTGCTGAGTCTGCCGAGCCTGCCGTTGCTGTGTCTGCAGAGCCTGTTGCTGCTGCGACTGCCGAGCCTGCCTCTGCCGAGCCTGCCTCTGCCGAACCTGCCGCTGCTGAGTCTGCCGAGGCTGCTGCTGCTGCTGAATCTGCCGAACCTGCCGCTGCTGAGACTGCCAAACCCGCTGCTGCTGAGTCTGCCGAAACTGCCGCTGCTGAGTCTGCCGAGCCTGCTGCTGATGCTGAATCTGCCGAACCTGCTGCCGCTAAGCCTGCCGAACCTGATGCTGCTGAGACTGCTGAACCTGCTGCTGCTGAGTCTGGCGAGCCTGCCGAACCTGCTGCTGCTGAGTCTGCCAAAACTGCTGCTGCTGAGTCTGTCGAGCCTGCCGAACCTGCTGCCGCTGAGTCTGCCAAACCTGCCATTGCTGAGTTTGCCGAACCTGCCGCTGCTGAGTCTGCCGAGCCTGTCGCTGCTGAGTCTGCCGAACCTGCTGCTGCTGAGGCTACCAAGCCTGCTGCTTCTGAGTCTGCTGAACCTGCAGCTGCTGAGTCTGCCGAACCTGCCGCTGCTGAGGCTGCCGAGCCTATCGCTTCTGAGTCTGCCGAACCTGCTGCTGCTGAGTCTACCAAGCCTGCTGCTTCTGAGTCTGCCGAACGTGCAGTTGCTGAGTCTGTTGAGCCTGCCAGCAATGAATCGGCACAGATAGTTGCTGTGGAGTCTGCCGAGCCTGCTGCCGCTGATTCTGCCGAACTTGTCGCTATTGAGCCAACCGAATCTGCCACTGCTGAGCCTGCCGAACCTGCTGCTGATACTACCAAACCTGCCACTGATGATCCTGCCGAACCTGCCGCTGTTGAGCCTTCTAAACCTGCTGTCTCAGAGTCTGCCGAGCCTGCGGTTGCCGAGCCTGCGGTTGCCCAGCCTGCTCAGCCTGCTGAGCCTGCTGCCGATTCTGTGGAACCAGCATCCAATGCTCTGCCTGCCTCTTCAGAGGCACTCAATCCTGATTCTCAGCAGACAGGTCCTCAAGCTGCTGCCCCTCAAACTCACCCAGTCTCGCTTCCCTCAGACTCCAAATCCTTCTCCCTTCCCGACCTCCCACCTCTTCCCGAGCCTCCGACTCCTCCCGAACCTGCCCAGCCTCGGCCGCTGGTGGTTCGGATCCCGGGCCTGGAGCCCGGAGCTGACATCAGCAGCATGTCCACCGCCGCTTTGCTAAGCGCGGTGGCGACGCTTAGGAAGCAGAGGGCAGCAGCGGAGGCGGCACTTATGGCAGCAGAGCAGCAGCTTATGGAGTGTATCAGGAGTGATAATGCAGCGATTGATGCATGCCTGAGGGGGCAGGCTATGAGGGCGAGGAAGCGGCAGTTGGTTGGGCGCAAGGGAAGTGGGTCTGGTGTGGGGTGCTGAATGGTATATTTTGCATTGACCCAAGGTGTACCTCAGGAGCGATAATGCAGTGGTAGATGCGTGGCTGAGAGTGACACATTGCAACTCGAATGTTAAGGGCTTTTTACAATGTATACAAGTTGGAAGCTCCAGGTGGGGAGGAGAGCAAATGGGGTGATGGTGATGTGAGATTGCTGGGTTTCAAGTTGACTAAGTTATTGCTATGTTTCTGTTCAGAATGCCAAGCCTATTACCAGTATCCCCATTCTGTTTTGTTCAGTTCGTCACACTGTACTCATGTATCATGCTTCGTGAGAGTGTGCTGCTGGAGATGTTTTGCTCTTGTCGACTGTATTGTACCAGCTTCATAGAACCTTACTCGTTACTTGCCCACCAGTTAGGGAACGAGAAGGTGTTTCCAGACAGTCCCATTCTGTTGTCAATTCTTGCCAAAGAGTACCAGGGGAGCATCCTCCCATGCAAAACAGCTAAGGGGACAAAAGCAAAAGTGGGGTGCTCCGAGAATCGAACTCGGGACCTCTCGCACCCGAAGCGAGAATCATACCACTAGACCAAGCACCCAATGTTAATGACGTTCCTGTAATAACTATATACCAAAACTAGTAGTTGTAGCTTCACCTTGAAGCCTCTTTTCATGATTATCCTTTCCCGCGATCTGACCAGACACCATGAAGCGACGAGCCGGCAGTGCGAGCAACTCTCGCGCGCGTAAGAAGCGCGATCAGGGAGAGGCGGTCGACCCTCTTCTCCTCGCCTTCAGGTACTTCCCGCCGTAGCTCTAACCTCTCCTGCATTTTCTCTGTTTCCTCTGTTTTTTATATTTTTTATAACATAATATCTCGCTCTGACACGCCTTTTATGTGCGACGTTTCCAATGTCACTCTGATTGCCGGTGCGTGCAGGGAAATAGCAACCACCGTTACAGTCACATCTAAGCAACGCGACATCGCATTCCGCGTGTCGTCTCCCGTCTGCCATGGCTGTCGAGTCAACTCCAAGGATAACCCCAACTGTTTCTGCTGCCTCGCCCCGCTTCCCGGAACCTTCCGCAAACGCGGCTTATGGCGGAATATTTCGAACCATACGCGTGAGACAGACGATCTTTCCGCGGAACTTCGCGAATCCACGTCATCCCCCGTAGGATTGACCAATCTCGGCGCGACCTGCTACATCAACAGCATCCTCCAGTGCTTATATCGAATCCCGGGTTTCCTGCGCGGATTCTTCGCCACGGATGACGTCACCCTACGTCAGCACCCGGTCCTGTTAGAGTTAGCTCGCATTTTCGTCAATCTGACGGTTGGCTGCCGGTCAGTGGTGAATCCGTCAAAGTTGACGGACGTCCTTCAGTTAGACAGTGACGTGCAGCAGGACGGTCAGGAATTTATGAAACTCTTTCTCTCCCTCCTAGAATCCCTCCTCTCCTCCTCCTCCCTTTCCTCCTCCCTCCTTTCCTCCTCCTCTAACGCATCTTCCATCCTTGTACCCTCTGCCAATGGGCCAGCCAATCCCGTGCTGCCAGGTGGCTTTCTGGCGCATCTGTTCCGAGGGACGTACTCCTATGTGACCACGTGAGTGGCTTGTGCTTGCCACGTGAGTGGCTTGTGCTTGCCACGTGCAACCCTCTGTTGCTTTGCCTTAAAGCATGTGTTAGCACGTGTGCCTGTTTGCTCAATCGTGTTGTAAACCCATCCTTCCACCACATTATTCCCCACCCCATCACGCCACACCCCACCCCACCCCACTCCACCCCACCTCACCCCACCAGATGCTGCGAGTGCGGACAGCCGTCAGCCTCGTCCTCCCGCCTCGTTCCCTTCTATGAGCTCGAATTGCCCTTGCACACTCCAGCACAATCATCAGCACCACCAGCAGCGCCTCCCCAGAAGAAGGGACCTCTCAAACGCAAGGCCAAGGGAGGAGCAGCAGCGTCAGCAGCAGCAGCAGCAGCAGCAGCAGCGGCAGCAGCAGCAGCAGCAGCAGCGGCGGCAGCAGGGGAGAGGGCCGGTGTGTCAGTGCAGCAGTGTCTTGAGCGTTACACAGCAGAGGAGCGGCTGGAGGGTGGTAACCAGATGTGCTGCGAGCAGTGTGGGCGGAAAACGGACGCCACAAGGAGGGTGTGCATTCGCGGCGTGCCGCCCGTGCTGAACCTGCACCTCATGCGCTTCGTATTCGATGCTAAGGTAGGTTAATATGGGGGTGATGAGCTTGTTAGGGTGGTAAGTAGATGTGCTGCGAGCCGTGTTTGATACGGGAGGGTGTGCATGCGTAGCGTGCCACCCGTATTGAACTTGCACCTCATGCGCTTCGTGTTTGATGCCAAGGTGTGTCACGTGTGTAAGGTGGTACAGCTGTCCAAATGTAAGATTAGAGTACCATGATGTCGTCTCAAAGGCAACTGACTGAACAATAAACAACCCCAAACCCTGATTACGGAGTCGTCTCAAAGCAACTGTGTATCTGTGTTTATATGTGCTGTTGTGTCCCCACACAGACGATGAGCAAGAAGAAAGTCACATCAGGGGTGCGCATTCCTCTCACTCTCGACCTCTCACCGTACGTTCAACCTAGTGTTGATTCCTTCAAAGAAGCAGGCGGGCCTCTGGCAGAAAAACCTGCAGAAGCAGCAGCAGCAGCAGCATCAGTAAGGGCAGGAGGGGAAGGGGTTGGAGGAGGGGTGGGAGGAGCAGGGGTAGAGAGTAAAGCAGGGGGGTGTGCTGCCGGTGATGAAAATCCAAGGGTAGGGAAGCGAGGCGGTAGGAGGATTGGAGATAGAGGGGAAGAGTCCAGGCAATGGGGCGGAGGAAAGAGGCGAGGTATTGCAGCAAGAAGGGGAGGAAGAGGAGGAGGGGAAGAAGCGGGAGAAGGAAAGAAAGAAGTGGGAGAAGGAAAGACAGAAGCTGGAGAAGGAAAGGCAGAAACAGGGGAAGGAAAAGCAGAAGCAGGAGAAGGAAAAACAGAAACAGGGGAAGGAAAGACAGAAATAGGAGAAGAGCAAAGAACAGCAGAAGATGCAGCGGAAGCTAGTCAGAAGACGTCCGAGCCTCCTAGACCTAGTCTTAAGTACCAGTTAGTAGCGATTCTGCAGCACAAGGGCAGCCAGGCGTCGTGCGGGCACTATGTGGCTCATGTGAAGGACGTGCGGAGTGGGCAGTGGTGGCTTTTTAACGACGAAGAGGTGGTGCGACTGGGCCGACACCCCATGGGGGAGGAGAAAGGTGGGAAGAAGGGGGAGGGGAAGGGGGAGGGGAAGGGGGAGGGGAAGAAGGCTGAAGTGGGGACTGAGAAAGGGGCTGTTGAGGTGTCTCGAGACGCGCATGTGAAGGACGTGCGGAGTGGGCAGTGGTGGCTTTTTAACGACGAAGAGGTGGTGCGACTGGGCCGACACCCCATGGGGGAGGAGAAGGGGGAGAAGGGGAATGAAAAGAAAGTTGCGAAGGGTGCTGAGAAGGGGGTTGAGGAACGGGTTTTTGAGGTGTCTCAAAGTGCAAAGGGTGAGGTGAAAGGTACTGAGAAAGGTGCTGAAACCTTGGCCTTTGAGCCGTCTGAGAACGCAATGTTGTTGAAGGGGAAGGTGGCTGAAAGGGTAGGAATGCAGCTGGTTGGGGAGGCGGTGGGGTGCGCAGAGAGGAATGGCAGGGATAATGACACCCCACTCTGCGATGAAGGCGGTGGAGGTGAAAGGACAGGAGCAGGAAGAGATGAAGCAGGGGCATCAGCAGGGGAGATAGAGACAACAAGAGAAGTGGGGGCAGCAGGAGAAGAAGTAGGAGAAGCAGGGAAAGGGACAGCAGGGGCAGTAGGGGAAGGAGCAGCTGGGGTAGGGGCAGCTGGGGTAGGAGCAGCTGGGGAAGGAGCAGCTGGGGAAGGAGCAGCTGGGAAAGGAGCAGCTGGGGAAGGGGCAACAAGAGATAAGTCTGATGGGACTGGTAGGCGGGTTGGGTGTGATGATACGACTGACTTGACTGGTGGGAAGAGCGAGGGGACTCCAGATGTCTGTGACCCTCATCCGATTGATCTTGACGAGGGAATCAACAACACTGATGGCACTGGCCCTCAGTCCTTTCAGGGCCCTGAAAGGACTGACCCTCATCCGATTGACCTTGATAGCACTGACCCTCAGGGGAATGACCCCCATCGGGTTGACCCTCATGGCGCTACTGACCCTGATTTGATTGACCTTGATGGGATTGACCCTGTTTCAATTGACTTGGATCGGATTTTAGACGACGTAGATGCGAAGAAGCGTCACCCACCTTCGCTTGGTCCGCAGAAGCGTCGCCGAGTGGGCCGACAACGAGGCCCCGAGTCGTTTCTCAAGGCCGCTCCTGAGATTCCACCTGAAGAACCACCTGAGTGCCCTGGCAAGGCGCCTCTGAAGAAGCAGATCTCGTTGCTGGCGGATTCCGTTGCTGCTCCACCTGGAAAAGCACCTGTAAGGCAACGGCGATCCGCGTCCCAAGCTCAACATGTGACAGCAACAAGCAAGAAGCCAGAGGCGGTTTGTAACGGTGTGCATGGTGCGGAGAGTGGTGGTGGGGAGTGCGGGCCGGGTGGTTCCAGGAAAGGGGGGACTGCAGTGAACGGTGGTCGAGAGGGGCTGGGGGAAGTGGGGGGAGAGGAGGTGACGTCAGCAGATGCATACATGCTGATATACGTGCGGGAGGGCTTTGGGGAGGGTTGTGGGAAGGTTGCTGATATACATGCTAAGGGGGTAGCTGCTAGATTAGCAGCGGATGCAGGTGGTTTGGAGTGTGAGGGGGCTGATATGGGGGATGCGAACTCACGTGAACCAACAGCAAAAGCACCTGATGTGGCTGTGAAGGCACCTGAAACAACAGCAGCAGCATCTGATGAGGCTGTCCAAGCACCTGAAACGACTGCAGAAGCACCTGATGCGGCTGTTAAAGCACCTGAAACGACTGCAGCAGAAGCACCTGACGCGGCTGTTAAAGCACCTGAAGCCAGTGCGGGAGCAGCTAAGAAAGAAAATGTATTTTTCCTGGGAGGTGACAATGTCCCTCTGCCCCAGTTCCTCTTAGACGAGGTGACTAAAACGAATGCAGCTTTTCGGCAGCAGTGTGAGGAGCAGAGGCGATGGGACGAGGAAACGAGGAAGGGAGTCGAGGAGAGGAGGAGTGAGGTGCGAAACGTGCTCTCTCTCATGCCTGGCGGCCGTAGGGAGGAGGGGAATCGAGTACTGGAGGCTGATGGTGTGGGAGGGGAAGCAGAGGAGAAGGGCGACGCAGAGGGGGGAGAAGAGGATGAGTTCTTTTGGATCAGCACCGAGTGGCTCAAGGCGTGGGCTGATAGCGAGGATTTGCCGTGAGTCACCACCTCACACCTCCCCACACCACCACACCACCCCCACGCCTTGAGTAGCCTTGCGTCGATTCAAGAGTCACCTGTAGTTCTTTTGGATCAACACCGCGTGGCTCAAGGCGTGGGCTGACAGCGAGGATTTGCCGTGAGTCACCACCCCACACCTCCCAATACCACCCCACACCGCCCCACACTGCCCACACCGCCCAACACCACTTTTTTGAGTTCGAGTAAGAAATTCGCCCACACTCACGGAGCACCCCTCTCCCCACCTCCCCACCTCTTCACCTCCCCAACTTACGCCTTCACTTCACCCATCTAATAATTGATGCTATTTTATTTACCTCCATTTTTTTCAAATATATATAACTTTTCTATGAACAAATATTTGCTCCATCCATCCCCCTCCCCTCCTCCTCCGACCCCACTTTCCACACAATATTTGAGGCGCCTCAAAACTCCTACCACCCCACTTTCCACACACGTTATATGTTTCCCATACGTTGCCCCTGTCTGCAGAGGTCCCATTGACAACACCCCTCTCCTGTGCCCTTCTCACGGCCTGGTACCACGAGCCTGCCTGCCTCTCATGAAGCGTGTGTCGCCTGTCGCATGGGCCATGCTGGTCTCCCAGGTACGTGTGACCCTTTTTGCACGTTTTACGGTCCCCAAATCCCTTTTTCTACGCTGTTTTCGCTCGTCTCCCAGGCAGTGTGCTGCTGCGAGCGTGTGATGTGAAGGCAGAGGCCCTCGCAGCAGTGCGAGCACACAGAGTCAAGTCACAATCTCACCTCTCGTTTCCTCTTTCTGCTTCCGTTTCTGTTTCTTCTTCTACTCCCTTCTTTTCTTCACAGTACGAAGGTGGTCCGGCCCTCTCCCAGGAAGCATGCTGCTCAGAGTGTTTGATCTCAGAAGCCCTGGCAGCAGTGAGTGCTGGGAGAGGCAACTCAACTCTCACCCTTTTCCGGAGATTCTCTTTCTGTTTCCCCTTCGCTTCCTTCTTGTGTATAACCACAGTACGAAGGTGGTCCGGCCCTCTCCCAGGCAGCATGCTGCTCGGAGTGTTTGATCGCAGAGGCGCTGGCAGCAGTAAGTGCGGGGAGAGCCAACGCAACTCTCACCCTCTTCCCGCGTTTCTGTTTCTGCTTCCTTATCTATTTGCTGCTGGTAATTGCAGTACGAAGGTGGTCCAGCCCTCTCCCAGGCAGCATGCTGCTCGGAGTGTCTGGTGGCAGAAGCCTTGGCAGCAGTGAGTGTGGGGAGCTACAGGGAGGAGAGGGCGCGCGTGCGACTGCTGGTGGAAGAAAGCATCAAAGGAAGGGCCCTGGAGGGACTGGGATACTATGTCTCCAAGCCATGGTGAATGCGTGCATGTGTGTGCATGTGCGTGCATGTGCGTGCTTGTGTGTGCATGTGCGTGCATGTGCGTGCTTGTGTGTGCATGTGTGCACCCCTTATTCTTCCTCCCAGCCTTCCCCTCCCTCCTCCTCCCTCCACAAGTTTCCCAACCTTTCAGTTTCTATCACCACCCCATTTTCCCTTTGGGTCGATCAACAGGCTTTTTGAGACGTTTCATATCAACACCCCCCTTTCCCGCCTCCTCCCATCCCCGCCTCCCCCCCCAACCCCTCCTCCCGCCTACTCAGGCTGAACAACTGGCTGAGGAGGACAAAGGCTGATGCCCCAACTGCGGCTGACTGCAACCCCCTGGGCGGCATTGTTTGTCCTCATCAGGGGTTGATGCCGGAGGGTAGAGGAGGGGAGGCGAGGAGGGTGGTTGTGAGTGCGGAGGTGTGGGGATGGCTGAAACGGTGGGCGGAGGAGGGGAGGAGGCGAGGAGAGGAGGAGAGAGTGAAAGAGGCCAAGGAGAGAGCAAGGGAAGAGAACGAGAGTGTGCAAGAGGGGGATAAGAGCTTGAGGAAGGAGGAAAGTTCGAGTGAAGGGGAGCGTTGTACCGGTAAGGAAGAGGGAAGGTCTCTGGCGAGCATTGGAGCAGAGACCAAGGAAGCTGCGATGACAGAGATCAAGGACGAGAAAGAAGAGGCAGGGGCAGAAGCAAAGGGTGGGTGCAAGCCTTACCCGGCTCCAGAAAAGGTTCCAGCATCTGCAATCACAGAGAAGGTTCCAGCATCTGCAATCCCAGAGAAGGTTCCAGCATCTGCAATCACAGAGAAGGTTCCAGCATCTGCAATCACAGAGAAGGTTCCAGCATCTGCAATCCCAGAGAAGGTTCCAGCATCTGCAATCACAGAGAAGGTTCCAGCATCTGCAATCACAGAGAAGGTTCCAGCATCTGCAATCCCAGAGGTCACGGACGAGAACGAAGAGAAGGAAGAGAAAGAAGAGAAAGAAGAGAAAGAAGAGAAAGAAGAGATAGAAGAGAAAGAAGAGAAAGAAGAGAAAGAAGAGGCAGTGGCAGAAGCAAAGGGTGGGTCCAAGCCTCCTCACCCTGCTTCTTCAAGTGCTGAGATTGCACTGCACAGTCCCGCGTTACTTCAGACGGGAAGTCACAGCCAGTTGTTGGAGTTCCCAGCTTCAACTGCAGAGTGTGCCGTGTGCGTGGCAGCAGCAGCAGAGGCAGCTGAGCAGGCTGATGCACTGAGTCTCGTGCAGCAGCAGCAGCGCCAACAATTCCTCCGCCTCTTTTCCCTCCGCCCCCTCCCCCTCTCCCTCCCCTCGTGCCCCACCACTTCCCCTCGCCTCTCCTCCCGCTCCCCACCCACCTTTCCATCCCCACCCTCTAAGCACGAGGAGCCTGTTTCTGAGGCGCCTCAAAAGCAAGAGGTCATCCCCTCACGCTCTGAGTCTGAGTTCCCCTACGCGCTCATCCCCTCCTCCTGGGTCGCCCTCTGGCGTGCCTTCCTCTCCGCCCCGCCTACTGCCACCAAGTCTGCAGCTGCAGGGGCTGCAGGGTGTGACGGAGGGGCTGTTGAGAGTTCTCAAAAGTCACTCCAATATAGAGGGGCTGTCACAAGCAAAGAGTCAGCAGCAGCTTGTCAGCAATCCCCTCCCAGCCTGGAGGGAGCACTGAGGGCCGTGCGGTGTCAGCAGCATGGGGGCCTGGTTGCCCCGCTGCCAGCACTGGTTAGCAGCAGGAAGGGCGAGCTGCTTCAGGCAAATGCAGAATCTGTGAGTATCCCTTTCTTAGTAGAACACACACATGATGATAGGTTTGTGTTTAGACGTCTCAACGCCCCTCCCCGTGAGGCACTGCAGCACCTGCAGGGGCAGCAGCATGTCAGCAGCCTCTTCCCAGTTTGGAGGGGGCACTGAGGGGCATGAGGTGTGAGCAGCATGGCGGTTGCGCCACTGCCGGCACTGGTTAGCAGCAAAAAGGGCGAGCTACTTCAGGCAAACGCAGATTCTGTGAGTATCCCTTTCCTGTTTTGAGACGTCCCGAAGTGTTTTCCCAGTTTGGAGGGGCACTGAGGGCCGTGCGGTGCGAGCATTATGGGGGGCTGGTGGCCCCGCTGCCAGTATTGGTTAGCAGGAGGAAGGGCGAGCTACTTCAGGCAAACGCGCGTCTGTGAGTATCTCTCCCTTAGTAGAACACACACGTAGCTATCCATTTGTTTTGAGACGTCTCAAAGGCCCCTCCCTGTCTAGAGGGGACACTGGGGGCCAAGTTTTTTTAGATGAGAAATATAGATTTTGTTTCCATCTGGTTATGTGTGCACCTGCAAAAACATCACTCATCCGTTTGCTACAGGACAACCACATAAATGTGCTGAAAATGAGGAAATTGGAGGAAGCGGGGAGGTCGACATTTTTTTGGCCAGCTGTCACTAGGAGAGAGAAAGCATCATGCAATCAGGGCTCTCCCATAAGCTACAAAGCCACCAGAGCTCACCGCACCAATAGGCTACGCCACAGCCAAGGCGCTGAAACATTTCATCTTGCGCAAGCTTGAGTCGAACCAATGGTGGTGGTGGTCCATGTTTCACAAACGGGCTTTAGGGCGTGACCCCACTTGTCCAGCGACCGCAGGGCTGACCTCAAAGGGAACCCACGCGCTGAATCCATCGATGACTCCGCGAGTGATGAGTCGATTTTTGAGTCGGCTCAAAAAAAGGCAACCCACGCGCTGATTTCCAAGTGCCTTACGATGGATCCATCGATGACTCCTCGATTGCCTGACGTAAAGAACCAATTCGATGTCGCCGTGGATTATACAAATCCCAGAACCAATTCGATGTCGCCAGCTGTCATTGTGAGAAACCACGCCACGAGAGCTCACAGTTTGTTGTGAGGGTTGACAAGCAAGCTCGAAACTGGAGAGCATGGCAGGCAGGTGGCGGTTGATGATGGCTGAAGGCACGAGGCGATGGGGTCCCAAGGGGCGTCGCAACCACCCCAAGTGTCCGTGGTTGCGCCCAATTGGCCTGAATTTCAGGCCCACGCTCGAACTATAGGTCTGCCCACTTTCTTACCGTACATCCATCTAAACATACAGCTTTGCGTGCTCCCGCAGCTTCCCCCACTACTCCTACAAGCTCTAGGCTTGGAAGACTTTTTTCAAGCGACATGGCTCGGGTGGTTTAAGTGGTGCTGGCGGCAAGACTGTGATTACTGCTGTGACAACGTTCGTAAATGCTTTCCTCAGCAAAGATCCTTCGTCCATCAACGGCAATAACATAGAATGGCAATCAAAGCATGGATGTGATATGCACTTCTTCATGACTTGATGCATGCATATCACATCCATGTTTTGATTGCCATACCATGTTATTGTCGTTGATGGACGAAGGATCTTTGCTGAGGGGAGCAGTCACGAACGTTGTCACAGCAGCAGTCACAATCATTGTGAGCATCCATGCTGCCGCCAGCACCACTTGGACCACCCGAGCCCTGCCGCTTAAAGCTCAAGTCCCAAATTACGAAGTGCGCAGGGCAAGATTACTAATCTTGCTCAACTGGCGTTTTGGGTGCTGTATTTTGGCGAATTTCTGGTTACAGTATGTACGAAGCAATTCTATTGGTCGAGGCCTAACACAGGGCTAAAACTTCAAGTTTCAGCTTTCTGCAATTTGGGACTCGAGGTCTCAAACAGGCAATTGGCCCCAGAGTTTGCTGACTCAGCGAAAAACCACCTGAGTGTTGCGAAATCAGGCAACGCGTCTTTCCCAAACCACCCAGCCCTCAGACTTGCGCAAGCTTACTAAACTTGTGCAATTTGGTCCGCGAGCTTTAAAAGGTTATTTTAAACGATGTTATTTTCTTTATTTGGTAAGGTTCGCAGAGGATTTCGAAATTATTGTCCATGTATTGCTTAAAAGGCTCTTTAGAACATAAGAAGAGCTTCCTGAAATGGGAAAACATTTTGTGTAAGTAACCTCAAGAAGCTCCAATGGATTCTGAAGACCCTTTCAAGCAATACCTGGACAACAACTTTGAAATATGTAAGACCTTACCAAATCAAGAAAATTAACCTTGCGCAATGAATTCCCAGGACTGTAATGGACATATCCAGCAGATTTATGTGGTTGTGAATTGTGGAATGAAACGATTTCGGGGGCACGTTCTGTCCCCTTCATCCATCCACACAACTTTTCATCCCTCTTGGCACAATCCCTCCCCATCCCCACACCCCTCTTTATCACTCCCCTTACCTCTGTACCCCTGTGACACTTCAGGAGCCCTTCACTATAGTCACACGGTCAGAATGGGTCGAGCTGAGCAGCCAGTGGGGCGGCACGCCCACCTCTGCCATCCGCGCGCGAATCAAATCAAATCTTCCCTCCAACAACCATGCACCTGATACCAAATCTTCACAAAGTCAGAAATCCACTGTGGGGAAGAGCCATGGAGACCAATCCTTCCTCAGCCCATATTGCCTGGAAACCAGCCCTCATTTGTGTCACATCTGCTACAAGAATCCAGAAGAGATCGCAAAGGAAGAGGAGAGGGCTATGAGGGAGGAGTTACAGAGGGGGGATTACAGGGAAGAGGAGATACTGGTTGAGCTGGTGAGGGGATTTGAGCCTCCTCCCTCTGTTGTTGCGTCTACGTATGGGTTCCCACCTCTAGCTGTGTCACGCCGGTTTGCGTCTGCTTCCTCCTCTGCTGCCGGTGCTGCTGCTGGTGATGCCGCTAGTACTGCTAGTGTTGTTGGTGATGCTAGTGCTAGTGCTGCTGGTGCTGCTAGTGATCTTGCTGCTGCTGCTGCTGCTGCTTCTGCCAACGGCAATGATACCAATATTCTTCCAGGTGAAAAGCTCAGTCCGCCACTGCTGGCAGTGGCACCACAGGCCAAGACAACAAAAACAGGATTACCAATGGCTAGACTACAGAGACGGCCACTGCGAACGGGGGGAAGCCGTGTGGCAATAAGAGTATCAGGCTCAACCACCCTGCACCAGCTGAAGCTGCAGATCTGGGAGTCCCTGGGAGTGGTTCCTGAGAACCAGCGCATTGGATTCAGCACTGTTGAAATCACTGCGCTGCGTGGCCGCGAGAGGGTTTCTCATAAGGCCGTGTCTCATGAGTCCCTGGAAGTGGTCCCTGAGAACCAGCGCATTAAGTTTGGCACGGAGGAAGTTACTGATTTGGAGGAGCATGAGGGTGTGTTGATGGTGCAAGCTGGAGTGTTTGCAGGTGCCCGGCTGTGGGTGGTGGATACTAAAGTGCACAAGGACAGGGACATTGCAGGTAAATGGGTTTTTGTTTTGTGATTTATTCTATTTTTTCCCCGAAAGCCAGATAGCTTGAGCTGGTGAATCCGAAATGCTTAAGGCTTATGGTTTGGGTGGTTGTGGGTTTTTATTAGCTCTTCTCAAGTTCTTACACCCTATGCCCCGTAATCTCAAGTTGCTCACCCTAATCACCCCAGATTGCCGCTCACTTCCTTTCTCCTGCAATTTCTCCTAGTCCTTCCCTCTCCCCTGCCTTCTTCCGTCAGAGGAGCTCGCAGTTGTGGATGACACGCAGAAGAAGGAGGCAGGTTTCAAAGGCACAGGCCTGGCTGGTGGTTTTTGCGTCGACTCAAAAGCAGACCCAAAACGCCGCTCACTTCCTTTCTCCTCCCGCAATTTCTCCTCCCTCTTCCCTCCCCCCCGCCTTGTTCCATCAGAGGAGCTCCCAGTTGTGGATGACACGCAGGAGGAGGCAGGTTTCAAAGGTACAGGTCTGGCTGGTAGTTTCCTCCCTGTAACTATTTTCCCAGTAGCAAGCGCAGCAACGGTTGGAGCAGACACAGCAACGGTTGCAGCCGAGGGCATTAAGTCGGGTGCACATGATGCCGCGGATGGTCATGTGGTCGTGTAGCATGGTTCGTATAATTTGACATCTCCCTCCACCATTTAGCAAGTCCGTTCCATCCAAACCACCCCCCATTTTTTGCATTGAAAGAAACTTGAAAGTGCAATGGGTACATCTTACGGTACAAGCCTAAAGGTGACATGATAACACTGTCATGTGCCAGCCAAAAGTACCTGGTAGAAATGTACATAGTTCTAGGAATCGCAATCCAACACATTGCACCCAGCCAGACCCTCTACACACCCCCGCCCTAACCTTCTATTCCTGCTTCACATTTCCTTGCAGCATACCATTCCGAATCTGGGCAGAAATGTCAGCAATCTGAGAAGGTGCATGTGGAATGAACACTGTGTTGCTCTTGGCCGACGCTCCTATATCCTTCATAGTGTCAAAGTACTGCGTTACAAGCACCATATCCAACACATCCTTGGGAGTTGTTCCCGCCACTTCATGTGAGAATGTGAGGACACTCTCTCTCAGCCCATCCACAATAGCCTGCATGGGTGGGTGCCATGGGAAATCAAGCAATAGCTCAGTACGTGGCAACGACATCTCGCAAAATTTGTCAAATTAGAACGCTTGCTCCATGAAATATGTAGCAGGATGACTTCCGTACGGTACATACCTGCCTCTGCCGAGCCACACCAACACCGGAGAGGTACTTTGCCTCGGCATCAGCCTCGGCGCGCTTCACTTGAAGAATCTTCTCAGCCTCTGCCTTCTCCTGTGCTGCCATGCGCATGCGCTGAGCTGCTCTCCGCATTGAGGCGAGAAAGGGAAATACAACACAGTAAGAGAGCAGAGAGAGATAGAGAATAAAAGGAACTGGTGAGGAAAGGAAGGAAATACAGAGGGGCAGCCAGCCTCACATGACAGGAAATGGACAGTGAGCAGAGAGCAATGGCTTTACCAGCGTTGATTTCGTTCATGGCTTTGCGCACGGTTGCGTCAGGTTCGATGTCCACAATGAGGGTCTGCTGAATGGTGTAGCCATACGCTGTCATCACCTGTGACAACAGGATACGAGCAGCAAAGCAGCAGGGAATAATACAAAAAGCAGGCGTCAGGTTCAATGTCCACAATGAGATTCTGCTGAATGGTGTAGCCATACGCTGTCATCACCTGTAACAACAGGATACCGAGGTTTAGATTAGAAGCAGCAGAGCAGCATGTTTAAAAAAAAAGAAAGGGGACTTGTCAGCAAGGGAAATTGTCAGCGCACCCAAACTTGACACAAAGCGGAGGTAACCGAGTAGAAGATGCCATACAGGGCGTATTTAAAGTACACATAAAAAGGTGAGTTCTGAATCGACTCAAAACACAGTTTGTGACAAACGGGAGGTAATGCCTAAGATAACAAAACCCACCAGTAATCTACACTCCTTGAAACCTCGTGCATGAAGCTTACCTTTTCAAGCTCCTCCTCCACATTCTTTGCAATCTCGTTCTTCTGTTCAAAGACTTGATCCAGCTCAATGCGGGGGACACTGGCTCGCACCACTGTAATGGGATCCGCACACCAGGGGTAAAATGTGCATCATGCATGCATGGACGCACACCAGGGGCAAAACGTGCATCATGCATGCATGGACGCACACCAGGGGCAAAACGTGCATCATGCATGCATGGACGTACACCAGGGGTAAAACGTGCATCATGCATGCATGGACGCACACCAGGGGTAAAACGTGCATCATGCATGCATGGACGCACACCAGGGGTAAAACGTGCATCATGCATGCATGGACGCACGCACACCACTCCGCATTTCCCCACCCACCACCACACACGACGCACACACACAACCATGTATGCATGCGGCTCACCCACACACACACACACACACACACACACACACACACACATACACATGCACACGCATGGACATGTCCACGCTGAGACACGTACACAGGGTCAGCTATTGCACAACCGTCCACCACGAAACGTCAAAGGAAAAAAGTACAGACTGCAAGACAACAAAGACTGAAATCAAGACCAGCAAAGCCATTCCCCTCCACACCCCTTGCTACACTGCATACCATCAAAGACGTAGGACTGGATCTGCTCGCGAGGACTCAGTATTTGAGACGTCAGCAACTTTTGGGACGTCATGCCTCAAAGCTCACGCTACACTGCATACCATCAAAGACGTAGGACTGGATCTGCTCGCGAGGGTTCTGGAGCTCGTAGAAGGCATCGTCTGCATGGTCCTTCATCACCCGGTACTGGACGGAACACACCACCGTCACAAACACATTGTCCTGCAAAAGAAAAAAAAACGATGTGGAGGAAAGTGCACGTGCAGAAACAAACAATTCAGATTCGCAGGAGGATCCTTCATCTCTCGATACTGGACGAAACACACCACCGTCACGAACACATTTTCCTGCAAGAAACAAACGATGTGGAACGATGTGCACCAAACAACGATTCAGATTCGTATGATACTTCAACACCACGTGCTGGACTGAATACACCAACGTCACGAGCACGTCGTGCAAAATGAGTAAAATCGTAAAGAAATAAACCAACAGTTGAGAGACCACTATAACCCATAGAGCAACTGATACTGGTCTTAGCAGTACACTGCCACAAACACAATATCCTGTTTAATAACGCGTAGGCCACCTTTTCTCTAACGGGAAAGGAACACTTTTAGCTTGAAAAGGCGGAAGGAGCACGAAATCATGACAAGCAGGAAAATTCAAGCACTTCACCTTCGATTTAGAGGTGACTTTTGAGTCAACTGAAAAGTCACCTAAGATTCAAGCACTTCACCTTCGTTTTGGTTTCGCAGCGCACGTCCAGCTGCTGCACGCGGAGCGACAATTTTCCCGCCAGCCAAGTCCCAGCGAGGGGATTGAAGCAGTGCATCCCGGGATCTGCCACGTGGGAGAATCTCCCCCATCTCTCGAATATTCCCACCTGCCAACATCCACACACGGAAAATAATTAATCACAATAAAAGATAATGAAATATTAATTACAACGATTCGTTTCCAACGCTTATCGATAATGAGATACATCAGAGCAAGGATGGTTGAGCAGGAGCTGACCTGCGACTGCGGGATGCAAGCGACGAAGCAACACGACGATGGAAGCTCAGGGCTACTGCTGTCCGCCATGGAAGTTGACGGGCGGAGGAGCGGAGACGAAAGCGGAGGGGGATCTTGCAAGAAATTGGTCAGCAAGACTCGAAATATGTCAGCGCAGGAAACCATATGTCACGTACTACTAGCGGAAATAGAAGCAAAATGAGACGTGGGGGGCAATGAGACGTGGGAGACTGGCTAAGAGACAGCCCCTTTTTATTTGTGATGCGAAGGCGACAGTCACTACTACCAGGTAAGAACCATGCAAGCTTCTGAGATTCACGACAGGAGCAGCTCCCGAGTCGCCTCCCAAAGCGCACTGACGCGATGGGAGTGCCCATGCCTGGCGCTCTGCGATGGCTACGTGGAGTCTCGGGGACGCAAGCTAGAGTCATGGAGACGCAACTAGGGTCTTTCGACGCAAAGCAGCCAAGGGAAGTGAAATAGCCAAGATCCTGTACGCAACGCCAGCGTGCTGCCTTGGGTCCGAGAAGGGCCTTGTTTGGTTGGCTCCCCGATTCGACAAGGCCCCTGCTGGCTTGGCTCTCTCTGGTCGGACCACAGCAACTACTAAATGGTAATGAGGATTTTTTTCGAAATCTCTGAAAGGCAGACCCAAACGTCAGGGAATTGCCCCGCGGGTGACGGTCCGGAAAAGTAGCCGCCGGCGAGGCCTCTTCTGACCCAGGTGACAAAGGGTGCACCTTTTTTATGTGAAAGAGAAAATGAGACTCGCGTACAGGGTGTAGTGCGATGTACTTCGTAGCAGTGTACCATATGTTTTGTTGTGTGTTTCGTTTTCCCATTTCAAAAATTTATCAGCATTCTGCTTCTCCTTCGAACATTAAAGATATCGTACAAAAGAAGCGGTGTAATGTGAATGCGTAAATTGTGACCTTGTTCCGAGCTCGCAGTATGGAAAGTGCCGTGTTCAAATCTCAGATACCTAATTTCTGACACCTGAATTCTGTGACCAGATTTGTCTCTAGGCGACGTTTCGGCAGTCATAACCGCGCGAGGTATTCGTTACGTAATTCCCCTCACCTTCGATCACATTCGTCGACATCGCCTGGATCAAAATCCGACGGTTGCCGATTAAACCAAGCTTGATCAGTCCCGAAGCTTTCCGTCTTGAACTCATCTACCAAAATCAGACGCGGCTGGTTAGCAACGCCGGCGCGATGGCGACAGCGGGCACGCAGATCATCGAGTCGGGTCACGCCGACGCGATTCACGACGTGCAGATGGACTACTACGGCAAGCGACTGGCGACGGCGTCGTCCGATCGCTCGATTCGCGTCTTCTCCGTCGCAGGCGACCACCACTCGCATCTTGCGGATCTGATTGGTCAGTTTTCAAAAGCGCCTCGTGAATAGCCAGATCGGATTCGTCGCTTTTCCGTCGGCGTGCATTTACATCATATCTTTCACATTTGGCGTCATTCCTCCCGCATATTTTACTGTCGTAGCCTTTACCACGTTACGCTTCCATTCTCAATTCGATTGCTTCGCACGCGTTTCCGATTCGAAATTGTCGTTAATTGGCGTTCGAAACCGTGGTTGCTTCGGAACCATGTTCAACTTTAGCGTCCCCATTGGTTCCGTCTCCCCGCAGGTCACGAGGGTTAGGTTTGGAAGGTGGCGTGGGCTCACGCTGAATTCGGATTTTGAGGCGCCTCAAAATACGCTCCTATTGGTTCCGTTTGACATTCCGTCTCCCCGCAGGTCACGAGGGTCCGGTTTGGCAGGTGACCTGGGCCCACCCTAAATTCGGGTCCATCCTCGCATCGTGCTCGTACGACCGCAAAGTGATCATCTGGAAAGAAACCAGCGAGAACCAGTGGATCAAGGTGCGTTGGTGAATCAAGGTGCGTTAGTGATTGGACGTCTGTGAGTGAATGATGGTGCGAATGTG